AGACTTAGGAGTGTGTGTTTATAGCGGTCACGTTTGCTGAGCCTGTATCTGTGGACCTGCGTCCGCTTGGGAATCCCCTCCCAGCACTCTGGAGAACCCATGTTGCCCACGTTCTTGTCAGAAAGAGCAAGACCGTGAGGGAAAGTGACAAATGCCACATTCAGTGTGTGGGGAGTGGTCAGGGAGGTTGCTCCCTCCTGGGGCAGGGGGAATGGTGACTTAAGACTGAGAGGCAGGGAGGGGGCACCGGCATGCGCAGAGGTCCTGGGGCAGGGTTAGACCATGGGCCAGTCTCTAAAAAGAGATTCCTGTGGCTTGAACCCAAAGAGCAAAGCTGAGGGGGGAGCCCTGACGTCGCTGGCGAGGCGGAGTGGGGCGCATCGCCGACCCTCAGGCAGGCCAGCAGCAGGGTCTGACGCACGCTTTCAGAGGAGCCTCCGAGTGCTGTTCAGACCTAGATTGGAGGGTGTAAGGGCTCCAGTCAGGACCCAGGGTAGGAGTTGGGACCGGCAGGGTGGATGGGTGTGGGGCCACTAGCAGGAAGTCCCAGTGTGTGTGGTGGCATGCCTGGCACGGGTCCCCTTCACCATAAACCTGGCTGGCTACCGTGAGAGGGGCGGGGACACGTGGCTGTCCCAGCAGGGCTGGGGGTGGGGAGCTCAGCTGGGCTTCCCTCTGCCCTGGAGCTGGGGCTCTGCACCCCTGTCCCCTGCCTCCCTGGCCCGCTTCCCTTGCTGCCTGGCCTGGGCCGGTCCCCACTTCTGGGACTAACTTGGAAGTGGCTCTGTGGCCCCGGGCAGAGGCCACCATCTCCCCTTTCCTGTCCCCTCTGCGTGGCTCCCTTTATGGAGCCTGTTCTGTGTCCAGGTGCAGTGGGTCGAGAGGCCTCAGTCTTAAGGGGACGTGGCTGCGTGGGGACCAGGACCGAGGGGGGACGTGGCTGCGTGGGGGCTGCGAGGGACCGCTCCCTGTGGGCTTGGTGTGGCCTCCTCCAGGCCCTCCCTCTGTGCGGAACCTTCTCCCAACAGGCCGCAGTAGGAGGGGCTGGTACTGGTGCGTTGTCCCAAGCAGGGCAGACCCCAGTGGGTTGGACGCACGGGAGGCTCCACACGCCGCACATATTTACCGAGCAAATGGACCGTGGAACTCAGCAAACCTCAGTGCTTTTCACGAAATCCGGGGAGCCATGAACTCCCCAGGCAGGAGGTGTGGCCAGGGCGGGGCAGGCCCCCTTCAGGTGGGAGGGTCTTCCGACCCCGGGCCCCTCGGCCTGCCTGTGTGCCATCTGGACAGAGTGCCCTGCTCACACACGGCCGAGCTGCAAGCCAGTCTGTACCAGGGCCTCAGGCTGCTCGGCTGACCTTGGCCTGAATTTCGGGGGCTCGGGCTCAACCCTGTGTCCCCAGGTCTGATGAGGCAGCCAGGACAGGAAAGGAAGCCTCTGGGTCTCCCCGAGCTCCACCCTGTCGCCCTCCCGCCCTGCCCAGGCCAGCGAGAGTCTCACCATACCCGTGTCGAGGGGCAGCGGAGGCCTGCACTCCCGCCACTGGTCAGTCTCGGGGGTCCCGGCCCTGCCCGGCTCCAGGCCGCACCTCTGCATCAGTCCGTCACGTTCCTGCGTCTCAGGAATGCCTTTCCAGGACTCGAGCCAAGTGTGGCTTTTCCTGTGTCCACAGGGCTCGGTTCCGTGTCTTGGCGCCATCGCCCCTCACCCGCTCACATGTGCCCTGTGACGCCCGCCCACCCCTCGGACTGGCTCCCTGAACAGGGCTGTTCTTACTCCCGAGAGGGCCGGCCTTGGTGTGGGTCACTCGTCCATCACAGGTGTCTTGGTGCCCGAGGCCATGCAGCGCCCCCGTGTGGAGCGGCGGGACAGGCGTCTGCCAAGGTGGCCCGGGCACCCCCACCACTGCGGCTGCCTCTTGCTCGGGCCCGGCCTCCGCAGATTTGTTTTGTGACTTTAACTGTTTGCTAAAAAGGGGAAATGGGTCAACAGCCCACAGCAGATGCCTGTGGGGGAGGCTCGCCTGGCCTTGGCCGCGGCCGCACCGTCGGCATGGAGAGCTGACTCTTCGGGATGTGTTCCCGGGGGTGGGGGGCTTGTGGCTGGGCCACCGCACGTGTTGGGGGCTGCTGTGGCTGTGTCCCCGTCGCACCCGCCTCTCCCTGCGGAGCGGTGGGTAGGGTGTCTCACCAGGTTCCTGTGTCCTATCTGGGCGCGGGAGCCCAGCCGCCCCTCACACCTGCGTGGCCTGTCCGTCCCCGCCGTGCGGCAACCCCTCTCGGAGGTGATGGAGAACCTTAAGACGTGAGGGCTGACATCCAGGGTCCGAGTGGAGAGGGCTGGGCTCCGTGTCATGTGGGGCTGTGACGAGAGTAGGTCCACTGTGTGTCCAGTTTGGAAACTGAGGATCCGTTTCTAACGTGACTTGGAAATGCAGGAGCCGCAGGCCCGAAGGCGAGGGCTAGGATTTTCGGGTGGGCTCTTGCATCTTATTGTGATACAGGTGTTAGGAAGCAGGGTTTGCAAAGGACTCGCACAGCCCTGAGAATTGAAAAAGTTGCCCGCCTGGGGATTCAGTGTCCGACCTTGGCTCAGGTCATGATCTCACGTTCATGGATTTGAGCCCTGTGTCGGGCTCTGTGCTGACAGCTCGGAGCCTGGAGCCTGTTTCAGATTCTGTGTCTCCATCTCTCTCTGACCCTCCCCTGCTCACGCTCTGTTTCTTTCAAAAAATAAAATAAAGACATAAAAAACGTTTTTTTAAAAAAAGGAAAAAGTTGCCCACAACCAGCTGTCGTTCCCCAAATGTTTGTGGGTGACCAAGTGGGGGAGGGGCTCTGAGGAGGGCGAAGGATTTGCTGCCGTGGACGGTGGAGGTCTGGTGCTCCTGGGTGGGACCCCCCCCCAGGGTTTGCACCCCCCCCCCCCGGGAACAGTGCAGGAGGCGGGTCCGCTTGTGGCTGTGTGGGTGCCTCCATCTCACTGGTCAGAGCCCGGGGGTTGCACTCCGGTCCCATGGAAGCTCGGTGGAGAGTGAGTGTGGACTCTGTGGCGTGAGCTGTGGTGCGGGCGGGCCGGCCAGGGCTGTGTGGGGACACACCGGGAAGGCCGAAGCCGGGTGGACAGCCAGCCTGTCGGACGGTGTCCCAGCCCAGAGCCTGACCGCCTGAGCCCATGCGCTGCTGGGACCACATGTCTGCCCCGCCTGCCCCCCAAGATTCGTATGTTGAAGGCCTCACCCTCAGTGTGGGGGGGTTGGGAGGTGGGGCCCCTGGGAGGTGATCAGGGTTAGGCAGGGGCGTATGGGCGGGGCCCCCAGTATGAGTTGCCCTGCCGGTGTGCCCCGTGAGGACGTGGTGAAAAGGTGGCTCTCACCAGGCTCGGCCAGCACCCGGGCCTCGGCCTCCTGGCCTCGGGGGCTGTGAGGAGTCAGCCTGCTGTGCAGGCCCCGCAGTCGGTGGCGTTTCATCCTGTCCTGAGCTAGGACTTCACTATACGCAGTCTCGGGGGGGGCTTCATCAGAGCCTAGAAACCAGCCGGCTGTCACCCCTGGACGACAGGGCAGGACAGAGGCAGATGAGCGGTGCGGGGCCTCTGTGGGGCCTGGAGTGTGCCATCTCTAGATCTGGGTGTCGCCATGTGTACACATAGTAAAGGCGTGTGTACACTGCACGTGTGTGTGCCCCCCTCTGTGGGTGTCTGCCGTGTGCACCCGCAGTGAGGCGTGTGTACACTGCGTGTGCCCCGCTCTGTGGGTGTCCGCCATGTGCACCTGCAGTGAGGCGTGTGTATACTGTGCACATGCGTGTGCCCCGCTCTGTGGGTGTCTGCCGTGTGCACCCGCAGTGAGGCGTGTGTACACTGTGCATGTGCGTGTGCCCCGCTCTGGGGGAGTTTCCTCTGACTGCTGCACCAGATTTCCACCATCCGAGAGGCTTAAGCAGCGTGTTTATTCTCTTATGATTTTGGAGGCTTGAGTCCAAATGAGGGTCCCCTGTGGGCAGGGCCGTGACCCCCCTGGAGGCTCTAGTGGAGGATCTGCTTCCTTGACTTCTCTGGCCTGGAGAAACTGCCCGTGATCCTGGGGTGCTGGCCTCTCCCGCTGCCGTCAAGGCCAGCCCTGCGCCCCAGCGGTCTCTCCCCTCTCTGCCCTCTGACCCTTCTGCCCCTTACAGAACGGCAGTTTGGGTCTGCCCGGATGACGAGAATATTCTCCATCTCTAAGTCCTTAAGTGTATCACGTCTGCAGGGCTGCTTTGTCCACGGAAGGGACATAGTCCCAGGTCCCAGGCATCAGGCTGGAACATCTTTGGGGACGTTACTCAGCTCACCACGTACTCTAGTTCAAACCACAAGTACGTGGCTTTGGCTCCCACGACTGTCAATAAACGTCAGGTCCTCATTCTGGCTTCCAGGGCTCTGCACGCCCCGCCCCCCACCTCATCTGTGACTCTTCCCCTCAGCCCACAGTCTGCTTCTACCTCAGGGCCTTTGCAAGGCTGTTCCCAAGCCAGGGGATCTGTGGCCTTGATGTTCGCCCCATCCAGGTCCTGACGGAGGCTGGCAGCCCCCCGCCCGTCCTCCCACTGCTTCTACGTCGTCGGCACCCCAGGGGGCGGGGGCTGCTTGCCTGCCCGTCGCAGGGGCTCCGCTCTGTGGCTGAGGCCCCCCGACCACACCTAGTGCACGTGTGCGTCCAGGCGGCGTCGGTGGCATGACCAGGTGCCAGCAGCGCCCCTCCCACGGGGATCCCTGTCGGTGCGGGCACCTGGCGAGATGCCTGTCCCGCGTCTGGTCTGCCCCGAGCTCCTCGCCGTTGCTTCGCGCCAGCTCTTGCCCCCCCGTGCTGTAAGAGGAGCCGCGCTAGCGGTCCCGCCTGCGGGGTCCCCCAAGCCCCTGGCGGTGCGGCCCTGCGTCCGAGCCCTCCCGGGTACCTGCGCCGCCGAGGGGCCGAGCGGACCTGAGCGACGCTCAGCTGGCAGCTCTGTCCCCACAGAGGAGGAGCTCCGCAAGCTGAGGGAGGAAACCAACGCGGAGCTGCTTCGCCAGGAGCTGGACCGCGAGCGGCAGCGGCGCATGGAGCTGGAGCAGAAGGTGCAGGAGGTGCTGAAGGCCAGGTGAGGAGGGGGCCGCGGCCCCCCCACCGCCCGCGCGGGAGCCTCCTTGCCCCTGGGCCCCCGCGGGATTCAGGCACCCCTTCCCGCGCCGCCCGCTGCACGCAGTGACCTCGGGGTTCGCCCGCTGCAGAGGGTCTTCCTCATCCCAGCAGGGCCCCTCGCCCTGGGGGTGACAGGTGCCGCCCCGGCTTCCTGGAGGACCTGGCGTGGGCCCCGCCGTGGGGCGGAGCTGTCCCTGGTGCGTGGCCTCCTGGCACGCCTGCCTCACGGTGCCGCCAGCGAGACGCGGGTCATTCCAGGAGGGTGTTAGCTGTGCTATCCTGTCCCTGCAGGCTGCTGGCCTGGCGCTGGGGCCTCCCCGCCAGAGCTGGTTCCTCCGTGGGGTGGACAGGTGCACTGTCGTTTCCGAGGGTCGTCGCCAGCTCTGGTTCCAAGGATACCCTCCCCCCCCCACACCGTGGTCTAGGTGTTCCCGTGCATGGGGTTTAGCTGGTGGGAAGGGGATGGTCAGGTGCTGGCTTTGTCTCAGGTCTTATCCATGGTGGTCACTCCCGGGAGCGGGGGGCACTCTTCTGGGAGAAGGGCCTGTTTCCTGCTTTGCGGGCATTGAGGACAGCTCGTGTGTGCTTTTGGGTGGCCTGGAAATAAGGCTGAGTGGCCTGTCCCCGCAGGTCAGCATGGCTGGCCTCCCTGGGGGGGTCTCGAGCTTGTCAGGGGAGGGATTCGCCCGACTTTGCATTCTGCCCTGGCTGCAAGGCCGGCGCCCCGTCCCAGACATCGGCACATGGGCCTCAACCAGGACTTTACCTGATGTTGAACTTTCTTACATAGAAATCGGTAGACATTCAAAGATTCAGTTACATTTTAATTATGCAAAGAGGCACAGCCAGTGACCTGACCTGGACAGATGCTGTGAGATCCAGGGACTGGCCCTGTCCCTGGGTGCCTTCTCGGCCACGGCCACGGCCTACCTTCTGTGGCGCATCACAGCGCTGTCTCCCCGACAGAATGCACTTCTGTCTGGTGCAGACGCGCGTTTAGGTCCAGTCTTGCCTGGAGCCTTGGCTGGAGGCTGCGGTGCCATGGGTGGCCTAGAGGGGTGCCTGCTCTGTCCCTTTCCCAGCCCCTGCCCAGCTGCCTCCCTCCCCGGCCCCTCACCAAAGCCCTGTCCGAGGACGTGCGGGGACCAGTTTCCCACAGGGCTGCTTGGGGGCCAGCTGGGTGGTTACAGTAAAGGAACGTCCAGACCAGGACTGAGGAAGCCGGGGTACATCGTGGGGCTGCCCCCCCCACACTTGACATGGGAGTAGGGTTTAGGAACCTTCTGGAAACTGAGATCTGAAGGAGGAGGTACAAGGAGAAGCAGGTTTCATGCAAGTGATGGCTTCTGTCTCTTTTCTTTTAGTATTTATTTATTTTGACAGAGAGAAAGCATGATCTGGGGAGAGTTGGGAAGAGAATCTCAAGCAGGCTCTGTGCCATCAGCATGGAGCCCAACATGGGGCTCGATCTCACGAACCCTGAGATCATGGCCTGAGCTGAAATCAAGAGTCGGACGCTTAGCCAGCTGAGTGTCCCACAAGTGATGACCTCTTGTACGGTCACCTTGATGTCTGTCTGGGGTGGCCGTGGGCCATCCCTGGTGGGTGAGCATGAGGAGGGGGCCCCTCCACACACATGCACACCCCCCCATCATACACCACAACATGCATGTGCACATGCTTCACACGCCACACGCACGTACACACACCACACGCGCACACATCACAGGTACATGAATGAGTGCACACCACACATCACAAGCTCATGAAATGCACACACCACACATATGTGTGCATACACATGCCACACATTACATGTACGTGCGCGTACACATCACACATGCGCACACACCACACATCACAGATACGTGTTTGCATGCACACCAAACATCACAAATGCACACACACCACACGCATGCGCACACATCATGCACGTGCACACACATCACACACGTACACACACGCGTGCACACCCCAAGCTGCAGATGAGCTGTAGGACTGAAACGTGGGAATTACATTTATGTAAACCTCTAAACCTCTGTTTTAGTTTTAAAGAAAAAAAATTTTTTTGTTTATTATTGAGAGAGAGCGTGAGTGGGAGAGGGGCAGAGAGAGAGGGAGACCCAGAATCTGAAGCAGGCTCCAGGCTCTGAGATATGAGCACAGAGCCTGATGCGGGGCTCGAACCCACATACCGCGAGATCCTGACCTGAGCTGAAGTCGGACACTTAACCGACTAAGCCACCCAGGTGCCCCTTAAAGAAAATTTCTGAAAAACCACCTTAATTAAAGCTTATTCGTTAATAGGCAAGATCCTTTTCCTGCCTGGTGTGTGGCCCGGCCTCGCCTGGGACCCTGGCCTCGGATTCTCCGCTCAGGGCCGCCCTGGGCTGGGCCACACCCTGTACCGAGCCTTGGCCAGGGCCGCTCTGTGTGGGGGTGAGACAGACCCCCAGCCCGGGGCGGGGCAGGGCAGAGTGAGCCTGGTGCCCGGCCCTGGAGTCACACTCGGAGCTTCCTGGACCTCAGTGCCCTCTGGCCTCACTCAGGTGGTTGCAGATCAGAAAATTGGATTTTTTTTTTAATGTTCATTTATTTTTGAGAGAGAGAGAGAGACAGTGTGAGCAGGGGAGGAGCAGAGAGAGAGGGAGACACAGAATCCGAAGCAGGCTCCAGGCTCAGGCTGTCAGCACAGAGCCCGACACAGGGCCCGAACCCATGAACTGCAAGATCATGACCTGAGCTGAAATTGGTCACGTAACTGACTGAGCCCCCCAGGTGGCCCCAGAAAATTGGATTTTCAAAGAGCAGCTGCGGTGTGTTCCACTCCAGCCTCGTTTGGTCCGTCATCGAGCATCAGCGTAGGTTGTCCTGGAACATTCGGAAGAGTCCACAGGTACTGGAAATACAAGGCCCTCTTTTTCTGATTGAGGTCACGGTCACAGAGCTCTTGTCGCCCTGCGGTCACCTGCTGACTTTACAGGGAGTGCGGGCGGGACCGTGCGCCTGAAGGTCGCAGGCTGCGGTGTCCTGATGCTCCATCTCCCCGCTGTCCGTCTGTCTCCCAGGCTGGTGCGCGTAACAGGACAGACAGCAGTCCAGGTCTGGTGGGACGCGTCTCCCAGAGTACCCACACCTGTGCCCTCCCGCCTTCTCTCCCTGCGGGCGGCCTGCAGCCCCTTCCTGTCTAAATACCTGTTTGTGGGGCACCCAGGGGGCTCAGTTGGTTGGGTGTCCGACTTCAGCTCAGGTCATGAACTTAAGGTTCGTGAGTTTGAGCCCTGTGTCGGGCTCTGTGCTGACAGCTCAGAGCCTGGAGCTGCTTTCAATTCTGTCTTCCTCTCTCTCTGCTCCTCCCCTGCTCATACTCTGTCTCTGTCTTTCAAAAATGAATAAACGTTAAAAAAAATAATAAACAACTTCCTGTTTGTTTCTAGCAGGTAATCGTGTTAGAAAAATCACAGTGACAGTGCAAACCGAGCCCAGGACCCCAGAAAGTGGCCAGCTACCACTCGGACCGTAGGCCCACCTATGGCTCAGGCAGGGCTCTGTCCATCGTGGTGTGCCCCCGGGCCCAGGCTGGGGGTGGGGGGAAGTTTGCTAGTGCTGCTCAGGTGAGCCACAGCTTCCGGAACCTCCAAGGCTCAGCAGAAGCACCCTGGTCCTGGGGCCGTCACACATGTCCCGGAGTGGCAGGCACTCGGCCGGCCGGGTCCTGGGCGCCTCTCCTGTCCCAGTAAGTCCCGTCTGTCGGTGGTAGCTATGGGTATGGACAGCCGGCCCCCTCCTCCTTGAGCGTGGCCTCCACCTCTGTCTCGTGTCTCCCTCGCCCACTGCTTAGTGAGGCTGCAACCTCACTCACCGTGCTGGTCTCCCGTCCAGCCCGTCCCCCATGCCTCCTGCTCCAGATTCCGTTCGCGGCTTTCAAGCCTGCAAACCAGGTCGGTTCACGGGAGTGTGGTGTGGAATCCGGTTATGTGAACAGGGCAGAAACCGCACCCCCTCCTTCCGCGAAGCTGAGGGTTGCCCAGCCCTGCAATGTCTGTCTTGGAAGAGTCCTCTGCCCCGCCCCTCAAGAGCCTACTGAGGTCTGCTTGGAGCTCCACCTCTCCCACATCCTGGGGTCCCGCAGGCCTGGGAGCCACAGCAACAGTGTGGGGGGGCCCTGGCCAAAGCACCACTTGGGGGCCAGGGGCCGGGCCAGCTCTGCTCCATCAGGCCCTTTGGCTGAAAGATCAACAATCAGGGTCTGGGGGGACTCCAGGAGAGGGCTCTGAGGCCGGGGGGCTGCTCAGGTGGCTTGTGGCTGGGCCACAGGGGCAGCAAGCCAGGCAGGTGGCTGGCACGGCCGGCCTGTGGCCTTGCACGGGGCTTGCTGAGGACATACGGATAAGTACCTTCTTATTAGCACGCTAGCTAGTGAGCGGAAGGGACACTTACTCTGAACTTAATAAACAGACGTGTCAGGGGCACCTGGGTGGCTCGGTCGGTTAAGTGTCTGACGCTTCACTCAGCTCAGGATCTCACAGCTCCTGAGTTTGAGCCTCACATTGGGCTGGGCTGAATGTGCAGCCTGCTTGGGATTCTCTGTCTCTCCCTCTCTGCCCCTCCCCCACACTCGCGCTCTCTCTCAAGATCAATCAATCAGTAGAAAAGAGCAGATGTGTTAGTAGGAGAGAAAAGAATTGCACGTTTATGAGAAACTATTTGGTTATTAAAAAAACAAGAAAGCGCATCCATTGTGAATGTAGCCCTGCTGCCATCACGGCGTCTGAGCAGTGAGGTCCCGGCGGAGCCCAGCGCCTTGGGAGGAGCCGCTCGAGTGCGGTGGGCCCCCTGCCCCCTGCGAGCGCCAGGACTTTGCGGAACCCGATGCGTGCCGCGGTGTGAGCTAACAGGGCTCCTGCCTCTTCTCCTCTCTCTTGAAGAACCGAGGAGCAGCCGGCTCCGCAGCCTCCGAAGGGACAGGCCCAGGTCAATAACGGAGCAGGTAGGGCCCCTGTGGGCGGCCGGGGCGGGCCGTGGGTGGGCGTTGGGCCTGGTTCTGGGCTCGGGCCCCAACACATGAGACGTGGTTTTCTTTTTCTGTAAAAATAGCGCACGGTACCTGCCTCAGCCTTTCGGGACTGAAGCAGTGTCGCTGTCACACTGGCCTCTCGGCCACTGACCTGGGGGCCGCCGTGGTCCGGACGTGCCCCCGCCCCGAGCCCAGTCCTTTATCTTACTCGACCCTTTGTCTTTCCTAACCATGTCCTGGGAAGAAACTGGATTTTCTGTCCAGCTGTCTAGGGATCTGACCCGTGGTGGGCCTGGCCCTTCTGTCTCCTGACCTGGGACCCGTTCCCGCAGGCTGACCACTCGTGAGCCCCCCCCCCCCGGCCCCCCATGTTCTGGGAGCTGAGTCACACTGGAAGGGCCTTAGGGTGAGGCCTGCCTCATACACAGCTCAGGAAGCCGAGACCCAGGAGGGAAAGCCTCTTCACGGGGCACCCGCCCCCTGGAGGCCCAGCTGGGACGCGAGCCACCTCCTGTCTTCCAGAGGGGAAGCTGGCCTGTCCCCAGGGCCCCGGTGCTGGACGTGGGTACAGGGGTACAGGCGTGGGTGCCCCTTGGGTCATCATCTCCCTGGGCCCTTGGGCTGCACACTCCAGACCCGGGTTCTAAGCCAGGGGTGGCAGGAGAGACCCCAGGCCCCCGCCAAGCACCGCGATAGAGGGGTCTCCTGTATGCCTGGGGGGGTGTCAGAGAAGCGGAGGCTGGAAAGGCCCCAATGCTCCGGGTCCCCAAGCCGAGGTCCACTCTGTAGCCCTGGTCGCTGGTGCGGTGGGCTCTGTGTGCAGAGTTAGGGACAGTGGGAGGCGGGGACAGGTGTCCTGAGTGGTGCCCCGCCCTGCAGCCAGCGCGGACGGGTCAGGGGTGCCGAAGCCACAGGCCCGACATAGACCTGGCAGTTGGCAAACCACAGCCTCCTGTCCGACTTCACATTTTTTAAAAGGTTTCTGCATTTTTAAGCGGTTGGAAAAAATGAAAGGAATGTGGATTTCACGAGTCAGCATCCCTAGTGTGGTTTCATGGGGACCCAGGCGGGCCCGAGGGCTCATGTGCTGTCCTCCAGCCATCCAGGTGGCTGCCCACCCCTGTCTGCACTGAACCCCGTCCCGCTCCAGGGAGGGCCGAGAAGCCCCCCCAGACCCTCCCTTTCCTTTCTCCTCCGAGACCTCTGCTTGTTCCATGGGCCTGGGCTGCCTCTGTGTGCACAGACCTGCGTGCACAGTCCAGGCCTGTGGAGTGCCAGCACTGAATCACCTCCGCGCCCTCCGCTCCTTCATTGTGGCAGGACAGCGCCCCCTGCAGGTGACTGTGCAGAGCGCTCCAGGTTCACAGCTTCCTCCTGGTTTTCTGAGTCTGAGGTGGCTCCTTTTTGAAGGTTTTGGGCATCTTTCTTCTCTGGGGTCCCGACCAGGACACAGCCCCCCGGGTGTACATGCCCCCTGGCCGTCCCTCAAATGCAGAGAAAAGGAGGGCGACGCAGACCCCAGCCCCTGCGCCCCGTGGGTGTGACAAGAGACCCCATGTGGTCCGCGGGGGCCGCGTCGCGCCTCGTGGTGGAAGCGGGTCAGACTCAGTGTCAGGGTGTCTGCACCCCACTGTACCCGCATTCCTCACTGGGGCCCCCTCCCCGCAGACCGGCGGAGCCAGGGGCTGTGCCCCCGGGTCCAGAAGTGGTTTTACGAGAAGTTTGGGGAGTACGTGGAGGACTTCCGGTTCCAGCCCGAGGAGAGCACCGTGGAGACGGAGGAGCCCCTCAGCGCCCGGAGGTGGGCCCTCGTGGAGCCCGTCGCTGCATTGTGGCTTCAGAGCCAGGCCAGCGTCTCGGCAAGGCCACCAAGTGGCTGCCGCCAGGGCTGGTCCCAGGGCCTGGCCACCTTCCCGGGGGGTGTGTGTGCCTGGGGGGGGGGGGGCAGGGTCACATGGTAGCCACCGTGTCCCCTCACTCAGGAGGCTCACTGTGCATGGTGACCAACAGCGTGTGGGATGGTGGTCTGGGGGACTCGGGTTCTGGGACACGGGCAGGAGAGGAGGGACAGCAGCGTGGGTGAGACCCCCCCAAGTTAGTGAGCAGCAGTGAGGTGCACCCCAGTGTGGCCCCCGCATCCCAGGTGATGCTGTGCCCCATGTGGCAGCGGAGCTTGGCAGTGGGGATGCAGGTGTGCTGGCGCTGGCACTCACCTCTCTCTCCCTCTCTCTCAGGTTGACGGAAAACATGAGGCGACTCAGTGAGTACCTGGTGCGGGTGTGGGGGGCCCCTGAGTGCGGGAGTGTGGGGCCAGTGGGCAGGGGCTTGCGGCTGAACTGGACATCTTTCCAGAAAGATGTTCCTGGAGGTTCCTTAGGAACAAGGTAGCTGTCCATCTGGAGCAGGACAGGATGAGGCCAGCTCTGTCCATCCCTGAGCTGGGCCTGGAAGTTTCCATCCAGGTCTAGAAGCCCCAGTGGAAAGTGGTGCATCTTGAATTATCTGCCAGGCCCCGGGTGATGACAGGCCCCCTCCATCCCCTGCACCCAGCTGCCCCTTTGTCCTATCTGTGGCATGGGCGTGGGGCAGGGAGCTGCCCGCGGTGGCACCAGCATGGCTGAGGGAGCCCAGCGGGGGGTCTGGCGTACCATGAGCCCAAGTCATTCGGGGTCCCCTTTGCTCATGCCCCTCACACTGCTGGCCCCCCAGGTGTGCCCAAGCTCTGGCCTCACCATGGTCTGTTCTGTCCCCAGAGCGCGGTGCCAAACCCGTCACCAGCTTTGTGAAGAACCTCTCTGCCTTATCGGACTGGTACTCCGTCTACACGTCCGCCATTGCCTTCACCGTGAGTCCCTGGGGTCAGGGACGGTCTGTCAGGCCAGCAGGCGGCCAGCACGGTCTCCGAGCTCTCCCTGGTGACACGGCGCCTTAGCTGCTCTGGCTGTGCAGTGGGGCCACTGATACCCAGCCCTGAGTTGTCACAAGGACCGGGCCTTGGCAGTGGCCTCCCCCCCACCGCCCCGCGCAGACAACCCCCGAGGCTGAATTCTCAGGAACGGGCCTCTGTCCACACCTCGGTCCGCTTTCCTGGATGAGTTGGGGAGAGGAGGAGGAAGAGGCTTGTCTGCCCAGGGGCGGCCCCAGCTCCCTCCTGCTGGGCACCTGGGGCTGGGGGAGGCTCCTGGCAAACACGTGGGGGCCTGGGGGCCCTCCCTGGGAGCGGGTGGCAGTGCAGCAGGCTGGCATTGCCATGTGCTCTGGGGAAAGGGCACTCGGCCACCCTGCCTGAACCATAGCCAGCCCCAGTCCCGCACAAGGAGACCCCATTATCACTGGGAGGGGGACACAGGCCTCCCACCTGCCTGCCAGCCGCATGGCCAGAGACAGGCATCCCCGCCTCTGGATTCTGGAAGGTTCTGAGGCTGCCCTAAATCCCCCAGCCTGGTGCCAGCCCTGAGCATTTTGTGTATGTACAGAGAATAGGACTCAGTGGCAGGGCCCTGGCCACCCCCTTCATCCTGGGGGGCCCCTTCATCCTGTGGGCTCCCCTTCATCCCAGGGCCCCCCCCTTCATCCAGGGGGCTCCCCCTTCATAAGCCGTTTGCTCCACGAGGCCTGGTCCTGCTTATATATTATTACCAATACACGTGCCGGCCATTCAGACCCTCCTTCCTGGCCTCCTCCACATGAGCCCCCCGCATCCCACTCTCTGCCCCCATCTGAGCGTCTGCTCTATGCCAGGCACAGGCGGGGCCGGACCGGAGGTGCCCGAGCGGCTCGTGGCACGTGGCACATAGTGGGGTCTCAGCCAGCAGTCGGCCACCTCGCCTGGCCATGCTGAGTCCTGGTGGGGCTTCGAGCTCTACGCAGGGGACCCGCGGCAGGGGTCTCTTCCCCACCCAGGCCATGTTTATAGCTGCTTCCTGGGGCACCCCTCCCTGCACCCCCAGAGCAGCCCCCTGTCCATCCTCCCTCCCACCCAGGAACTCCTGCTGAGAAATCAGCTCTTCCCAGGGCCTCCCCGTTGTGCCCTCCCTCCCGCTGGGGGCCTGGGCGCCCAGCTCCCTTCATGGCCTGGTGGGGCAGGGGGGCGGGGGGACAGCGGAGGGGTGTGGCCTGTCCGGTTGCCTGACGGTCTCCCTCGGGCCTGCAGGTGTACATGAACGCCGTGTGGCATGGCTGGGCCGTCCCCATGTTCTTATTCCTAGCAATTCTGAGGTTATCCCTCAATTACCTCATAGCCAGGTGAGCGTGCCGGGTGCCCGTGTGGGTGGTGGTGCCGTGTCTCTGAGCCGGCGGTGGGGGGGGGGGGGGCTGCCTCACACACAGGTCACTGGGGAGTAGTCCCGTGGTGGGGTAGGGCCCCTGAGCCCCCGGGACGATGGCCGCCCCCCCTGGCTTGCTGGGGTCGCAGCAGGTGACTGTCCAGCCCCCCAGCGGTTCTGTCTCTCGGCCGGCGGGCGGCCGCGGGGTCGCTGCAGCTGCTTCTGCTTGTTGACGGAATCCCAGGGGCCTTGATGCAGCTGCAGAGCCTTTGTGCCCCGGGGGGTCCTGGGGTTCAGAGTGAGGGTCCTCGCCATCGCCAGGCCCAAGCAACCTGCCGCGTCTTTCCTCTGTGCTCTTGGGAGCACCCTCTGGGGCTCCGTTGGGATGCCCCTTGTCCCCAGGCTGCCCGGTCCGTCTGAGCATGCGATCGCCCCAGCCGTGAACCCCGCCTTCGCCGCGGGCCTGAGGAGGACCCCGCGGTCCAGATTTTTACACAGTTGTTCAAGAGTTCACACTTCACATGCCAGTGTCCTAGGCATCCCGGTGCCAGCTGAGTTGGTTCAATTGAAAATGTTTTGTAGAGAAGAAAGTCTTTACACACGGGTGAAGGGGTCATCTGTGCCCGGGCGAGGCACGGTCAGCTAGTGTGGGCTGTTGCCGCGGCGCTGACTTTCTTTGAAAGACCCGTCACCTTGGGGTACTTTGAAGTGTGTCTGTTTTACCTCTGGGCCCCCAGAGGAGGGGCCGGTGAGGGTGACCTTGAATCGTCCATTCTCAAGAGCCGGGGGCAGCCCTGGTGGGCTCGGCAGTCAACGGCAGAGGGTCTCCAAAGCCCCTTCTGTCCCCCACTCCTTCCCCGTCAGGAGCACAGGGCTGGGGCTTTGAGGTCCTCCCTCTAACGGCGCCACCCGTTAAAGGCGTGTGATTGTCTCCTCTTGGCCAGGGGCTGGAGGATACAGTGGAGCATCGTGCCTGAGGTGTCAGAGCCTGTGGTAAGTCCTGGCCAGGCAGCGACCCCTTGGCCCCGTGTGGGCTCCCTGAGGCCCCCGGAAGCAGCTGTGTGGCTGCCCTGGGGAGCCCTGCCTGGCAAGTCGAGGTCAGGGAGCAGGAAGTCAGTGCCCCCCAGCACGGGGCCCTGGATGGCCCCACTGTGACCCCTTGCCAGCCGGCGCCCCATGTGCCCCTTGCTGGCCAAGGCTTGGCTGCATGGGAAGCGGCCTGTCCTGACCCTTCCCGGCTGGGATGTGATCCACTGGGGGGGGTCCTACAGTGCCCCACATCCTCCCTGGACCAGTGGGTGTGTGAGCAGGGATCAGCAAGCTCACGGCCCTCCATCTGATTTTATAAATAAAGTTTTATTGGCGCATAGCCATACCCTTTCACTTGTGCACTGCTACGGATGCTTTGGGGCAGCAGCGGCCGAGCTTAGTAGCTGTGGCAGAGACCCGTGGCCGGCCGAGCTACCGGGGTTTACTCTGTGGCCCGTTAGAGAAAATTTGCTGGCCTGCTCTGGAGGGAGACTGTGGCCTGTGGGGTGGAGCTGCCCGGCACGAGCACGGGGGAGAGCACCTGCTCTGTGTGGAGCTCCCAGTGGGGGTGCGGGGTGCAGTGGTGCCACAGGGTCCCTGGGGGGTCGGGGGGGGCGTCTCGGGGGGGCAGGCCTGTGTGTCCAGGAGGCCCTTGGGAGGTTCCAGTTGAATGAACTCAGACAAGCCTCAGTTTCCCTCACTGCAGTGAGGCGCTGAGGGCTTTGTGGTCTTAGATGCCCGTTAGAAGACACTCCTCAAAGTGTGATCCCTGCTGGCTGAGGGGACTGCCGCTGCCCCCCGCTGCCCTCCCGGGCACCAGAGGGGTGTCCCCAGGACACCCCAGGGCCAGCCCATGCCGTGCGGGGCAGCAGAGTGACTCCCGCTCCCGGGGCTGGGAGGCCCCTGAGCTGCTTTTGGGACTCCTCCCTCTGAGCTGCTCAGTTTCGGTGGAAATTCTCTCTCCCCTCTGGCTGCAGGAGCCTCCAAAGGAGGACCTGACCGTGTCTGAGAAATTCCAGCTCGTGCTGGACGTCGCCCAGAAAGCCCAGGTACTGCTCCCTCTAGGGCTCCGGCCTGGGGGCGTCTCTGCGCCAGCCTCACCCACAGGGGGCCCCAACACCCCAGGCCTGGCTTGTCTGTCGACCCGCCGTCAGCCTGCCCGTGACCCCGAGGCGGCAACCCTGGCGGGCGGGCGGCCCCTCCTGGTCTAGCCTGAGGCTGGTGCCCTGGGGCGTGGACGCCTACCCAGGGGGCCCGGCCACCGCCAGGAGGGGCGCGGTCTGTGCATTAGCCTGGGCCTTGCCCGCGACCCACCACCCTGTCCTTGGCCTTCGAGTGGCTGGGCAGGATGTCGGGGTTCTGTGTCACCCGGCCGTGGCCACACGGGGGTTGCACCTCTCAGGCCGGCCCGCGAACCCAGTCATCCCGACCTGGCCGTGTGGACGGGGACCCCTTGTGATTGCGGCTTCTTCTACACACAGAATCTCTTTGGCAAGATGGCCGACATCCTGGAAAAGATCAAGAAGTAAGTGAGGGGCCCCCAGCCTGTGGCCTCGGGGGCGCGGCCCCGCCCCCCTGCTGAGCCCCCCTCTCCCCTTCCAGCCTGTTCATGTGGGTCCAGCCTGAGATCACACAGAAGCTGTACGTGGCGCTGTGGGCCGCCTTTCTCGCTTCCTGCTTCTTCCCCTACCGCCTGGTGGGGCTGGCCCTGGGTAAGGAGGTGCCTCGTCTCCTGAGCCGGGGGTGAGTGCGGCACAGGGGGCCCCGGGGCCGCTTCCCACCGGCGCATCCGCCACGTGCCACGTGCCTCCTGGAGGTCAGCTGCTAACGCGCTGGCGTTCCTCCCTCGGGGCCTCATCCGGTGGCTTCTCGTCAGAACGTTCACATTCGGGAGACACAGGCCCGAACCCTGGAGACGTGGCCCGAGTGCCCACGGGGGCCGTGATGGGTCAGGCCGAGGGAGGGGAGACGTGGGCGTGGGGCCGTCAGGGGGGAGCCGTGGCCTCCGTCCTGTGCAGGGTGGTCAGACCTGCGGGAGGAAGGGATGGCCGGGGAGGGGGGTTCAGGGTTTGCGCTGGACTGGCGGGTAGGTGATGTCGCCGTTTCGTGGCAGAGGGAAGGGGGGTGGGTGCGGAGGGTTTAATTCTGGGGTGGGGTGTGTGCAGAGTCCAGGCAACAGAGCTGGATGTGCAGGATGTGGCCTTTGTCCGTATTTCAAACCACGGGATGGCAGGACCTGAGCCCCCCGTGGGTTCACTGGGACCCCTGCCCGGGATCTCTGCAGGGAGGAAGGTGCGGGCAGGTGTGGAGGCTGTGCTGAGGCCCAGGCCGTGGGCCTGAGGCTGCCCCAGCCCGCTCCGCTCACCTGCCCCAGGAAGCTGCATCCCACTCCCCGGGCCAGACGCTGACTCCTGCCCCACGCGGAGCCTCAGAGCACGGGTGGGGCTGCCTCCGAGCTGGGGCCACGCGGGTCGGGGGTCTCACAGCATGGGGGCCGTCCCCACCTGCCCACGCCTCCCCCCCCACCCCCCGTGCCGCCGCAGCCCTGGTCTCTGGTCGGCACTCTCCTTGCAGGCCTAGCCGGGGAGCCAGGGCGGGTAGACGGCCACTCTACCAGTGTGGCCTTGAGGGAAGTGACTGGCGCCAGCAACATGAAATGTCCTCAGTGCCGTTTCTCAGGGGCCTCGGCCGGGACACCAGTTCTCTGACCTGGGGTGGGAGGGGGCCCGCCGGGTCAGAGGGCGGCAGGCAGGGAGTGGGTCCCCTGCATTTTCTTTCATGTCACCCTTGGGGGTCGTAACTTGTTCGTGAGGTGGATTGATTGACAGGAGCCTGAGTGGACCCCCTTCGGCTGGGGTTGCCTGGCCCTCTTGCTGCCCCCCTCCCCCCCCCCCCGCCCTGTGCCGGCCACCCCTGGTTCTGTGAGGCCTTCCGTGTGCCCTGGCGCTCTGCCCTCCACAGGCCGGGGCTCAGGGCCACTATGCTGAGGGGACAGATGTGGCTGTGGTTCTGGTCCCAGATGGAATGGCACTGCTTTTCCCCGTCTCCAGGACTCTACGCCGGAATCAAGTTTTTCCTGATTGATTTTATCTTCAAACGCTGCCCGAGACTGCGAGCCAAATACGACACCCCCTACATCATCTGGAAGAGCCTGCCCACGGACCCCCAGCTCAAAGAGCGCTCCAACGCCGCCGTGTCGCGCCGGGTAGGCTGGGCTGGGCCGCGGCCCATGCTGTGGGGCCCTCGAAGCAGACGCGGTGCTGTGGGGACTTCCCTGCCACCCGGCACTGCTGTTTCGGGGGGCGCACCAGCCCTGGGCGCTGGCTGGTGCTGGGCAGGCCAGGCCCCCACCCACCTCAGGGACCCCCAGGGACCCTCCCACAGACTTGAGCCGTGTGGCCCCCGAGCCAATGGCAGGCAGGGTTCAGGGTGTAGGTCACAGATGCCCAGAGCCTGGGGGCGTGGGAGGAGGGGCCCCTGGGGGCTGCTGTCCAGCCCTTCCGTCCCTGGCCCTGAGGCTGGGGCCCACCTCGTGCCCGTACGCTGCTGCTGGGCCTGTTTTCGATCACGGTGGGAGGCTCTGTGGGTGTTAGGCACTGCGTCCCAGGTCGGGGCACGGAGGACCAGCTGGCCTCCATCTTCTCCTCGGTCTCAGATGAGTGGGGGAGGACGGCTCTTGGGGAGGTCTAAGAAGGCTTCCTGAAGGAGGGAACTTTGGATTTCTGAGACTTGCGTGTGAGTGTCCCCCGAGGAGTGACCCGCTGATGGGCGGGAAGCTCTGGGTCAGGCGCAGGTCAGGCTCCAGGACAGAAACGCCCGTTGGGAGTCCAGGCTCCTTGTCAGGGGTGAAGCTTGCATGTGCACAAGCAGCTTTTCGGTGAGCCAGCAGCTGGGCTCTTGGGGTGCAGGCTGGGTGAGGCGGGCAGCCTGGCTCCCCGAGGGCGTGGGAGGAGACGAGGGGCTTGTCCCAGCCCTGGGGCGCCCGGGGAGAGAAGACCTTCGTGGGGGTCAAGAGCAACCAGCGCTGGCCAGTCAGGAGAGACTGAGAGCAGCAAGGAGGAGGGCTTCCCGGAGGAGGGAGACCCCGCCCAGGTGTCTGTGCTGGTGGCTTGCAGCTCTGTTCAGCCTCTGTGTTTGTGACCTTATGTCATGGGGACCCCCTTTCCTCTCGGTGGCACATGCATCTGTTGTCTGCTCTCTGGCCAGCTGTCAGGGAACGACCGGGTGTGGCGTCCGTGGGGAAGTCCCCCTCCCGATGCCATGTGTCACTGTGTCGTGGCCGTTTGACTCTGATGTTGCTTCAGTGGCCCGTCCCTCAGCTGCGCCCCATTTCTGACATGTGGGGGAGGGGCTGCATGCGCTGGGGTGCGGGCTCAGCCTCGGCCTGTGGAGTCAGGACACTGCTGGGGAGACGGGAGGTCTCCCTGCTGTTGTGGGGCTGCTCTGCCCTCTGGGATGAGGAGCGCCCCTGGAGGGGCTCTTAGGGGGACCGCACCCCCTGTCTGGGCACACGTGGCTGCACCTCCCATACGATTACAGCCGGGTAAGGGTGGGGGGCGGCGGGACCCAGTCCCTCCCAGGCCCAGCCTAACGGGCATGCGTGTGCCCAGCAGCTGCAGACCGCCTCCTCGCGGAGCTATGTGTCCAGCGCGCCCGCCGGCCTGAGCAAGGATGAAGACACTGGTCGCTTTCATGGTACCAAGAAAGGCAATTTCCACGAGATCTTTAACTTGACAGAGAACGAGCGACCACTGGCAGGTACGTGAGCCCAGAGTCTGTGACCCGCCCTGGTTTTGGGGGGGGGGGTGGCTCCCGTGCTGGGGGCCCTTGGCAGGGACAGCCCCGGGGCTCAGAGGGCTGTCTGGGGCGAGCAGGCGGGAGGAACTGAGTGTGCCCCTGCCCACACGGGGGGAGCCCCTTTGCTGCAGCAGGTGGTTTGGCAGCAGAAATCCAGAGGGTCCCCCAGTGCAGAGCTCAGAGCTGTCCCAGTGTCATGCATGCTGCCCTGAGGTCCTCCCCACTGCCCCTGGCTCATCCTGGCCATGACCTGGCCATGACCTGTCGGAGAGCCGTGCGGGGAGAGCCGGGCGGTGGGAAGCAGCCGGGAGCTCTGGTCCCTGGTCAGCCTCCTGGGAAGGGCCTGCCCTGAACTGACCCGGCAGGTGCCCTGGGCTCTGAAGTGCCTGGCCGTCTGTGGGGTGTGATGACCAGCTGCTGAGCAAAGCTGTATAGAACCGACTTTGACCTGCTCCCGGCCCCTCCTCCCGCGGACCCGGGATGTGAAAACGTGGTTGCTGGGGGGGCAGGGGGCACCCTGCCTCCTTCTCAGGGTGTTGTGTACCTGCTGGTGGGGAGTGCGTGTCAGTCCGTCCTTGGAAAGATGGGGCAGACGGGCTCCTGTGGTGAATGGAGGGAGAGGTCACGGTCACTTTTGTCCCCGCTAGTGTGCGAGAATGGCTGGCGCTGCTGCCTGATTAACCGGGACCGGAAGATGCCCACGGACTACATCCGCAACGGGGTTCTGTACGTGACGGAGAAGTGAGTGACTCGGCGGGGCGGGCCTGAGGGGCCACGGCGTGCTCCTTCCTCCGCTTCGGGGAAAGGCTTTGTCTTCTCTCCTGGAACGAGACTGGATGGGGAGCTTACCCCTGGGGGCCCCCTCTGCCCGGCGTAGGAGCGGGAAGAGCGGCTCCGGGGTGGAATCTGCTCTCAGCCCCGGGGGCCCCGGCTGCCCTGTCCCCACACTCACAGCCACGGCCACGACTCCTGTCACTGAGGGAACAGGCCTCAGGGACATTCCTGGTTCTGGCCGGATGTCACAAGCATGCTTGACATCCTTCTGTCCACCAGGCTCCGTGCAGGGCGGTGGGTTTAGTTTATAAAAACTACGGAACTCTTTGTAAAAGTGCAGTTTTTTGCGAAAGGCCGCTGCACGGCGGTGGGAGGGAGGGGCTCTCTGGGGATCGCCACTCGCCCCCTGGGGACCGTGGTGGCGGCGGGCTGGTGGTGTATCCCTGTTCAGGTGCTGGGTTATGCCTCTGTTTCTTTCTCCCCCCATAGTTACTTGTGCTTCGAAAGCTCCAAATCCGGTTCTTCCAAGAGAAACAAAGTTATCAAGCTGGTGGACATCACGGACATCCAGAAGGTATGTGTGTGGGGGGGGGGCTTCCCTTCTCCGTTGCCTCTTCTGGTCTCAGGAAGAGGAAGGCCGTAGGGCCGTGAAGCTGGGGGGCTCCAGCCGGGTGTGTTGACAGGGACGGGCCGGTGCCTGCTGGACTTAATCCTGCCCACAGCAGGGCTCCCTTCCGGAAGGCCTCCACGCAGAGCCCCCTCGGCTCCTGTCAGCCTCCATGTGCACAGGCCTCTCCTACCGCCTCGTAGGTCAGCGCCAGGCGCCCTCCCCAAAGGGGTCAGGGACGCACAGCAAGGTGGGCCCAGGAGGTCAGGCTGCCGGGCCCCTGTAGCCACTGCTCATCGGCCCCTCAGTCCTGACATGCTCCCCGTCTCAGGCCTTTCCTCAGCCCGTTTCCCTCGAGCGTGATCACATGGAGTGTGTGGTGCCCGGAGCAGGGCCCGGCGCGCACAGGTTGGGGGCTGGCTGGGCCACCTGCTCCCGGTCTCCAGGGTCTCAGCGTGTGGGACACAGGCCAGCCCGGGTTGGGGGGTGGACCCCGGCTCACTGGCATGTCAGGGGCACCCCCATGGCTGCTGGGCCCCTGGGCCCTCCCAGCCTCCCCGCGGGGCATTCCCCTTGCGCGGTGCCCCTTAGGGACACCCTGCCTCGCTTGGGCCCTTCTGGGAGAGGGTGAGACGGGGCGTCCGCAGGTCTGGTTTCTCAGTCATGAAGTCCGTCTGTCTGCTTGTGGCCAGGAAGCTCGGGGCTCCGTGGGGCTTGCAGTCCGTGGGCCCTGGGGTGTGGGGACAGGCTTGGCCCTGGTTCTGGCCCTGGCGGGGGCCCGTGGTGACAGTGTCCTGTCGTCCCCTCAGTACAAGGTCCTCTCTGTCCTCCCGGGTTCAGGCATGGGGATCGCCGTGTCGACGCCATCGACCCAGAAAGTAAGTGCCGGGCGGGAAGCCGGGGAGCCCGGGGTGGGCCCAGAGCCGCGCTGGGGGGCCCCTGCTCTCCTTCCCTCCTTGGGGCCGCAGGAGCCCCACTGCTGTCTCCGGTGTGGGTCCCCAGGGAGGGAGGGTGGAGCTGGGGGACCCCCCCAGGGCTGGGGGCCTGGCCTCTGCGCAGGTGGGGGGGTCTGCCCTCATACACCTGACCCTCTGGGGCTCCGCCGGGACCCAGGCTGGGGCCGCCCTGTCCTGCTGCGCCCGGCTGCGCGGGTCACCCATGGCCTTTCCTCCCTGCCAGCCGCTGGTGTTTGGTGCCATGGTGCACAGAGACGAGGCCTTTGAGACCATCTTCAGCCAGTACGTGAAAATCACAGCGGCGGCGGCGTCTGGCACCGACAGCTAGTGTTGCTCCTCTGGGGATGTTGCTGGAAGGTGTTGTTGTTGTTCTCTTTTTTCTTTGTTTTTTTTTTTTTTGTTTTTTTTTAAACGATTTGATAGTGGAAAATCTTTGGACATCCTGATCTTTTGCAATAATTCCCCTCGATCTATGGTTTCTATTGTGTTTCCCCTGCGTTTGATGGACCCCCTCACGCAGGGGTGGGGCCGCAGCCAGTGCCAGCCCACCTGATGGGTGAGGCGTGTCCCGTGGACGCAGAGGCAGGGGTCCGCGGAGGCCCACGGGAAGGAGGACACGCAGCGCGCGCCTGCCCCAGCCAGCGCCTGGCGCAGCGGCCGCCTCAATGCCCCCGCCTGGGCAGAGCCCCCGCCGTGCCCCAGCCCTCCGGAGGCTGAAGCTCTTCCACACCAGAAGCCATAGCTGAGGAGCACTCACGGCCCCTCCTCCCGGGGGTGAGGGACGTCGGTGCCCAGCAGCTCCGAGGCCCCTGCACCGTGGCCGGAAACGGGCCGGTCGGTCTCGCGCCTTCCCCTAGCGAGACCCCTGCTGCGCGTCCTCCCAGCGAGGCTGGGCCGGGAGCGCCATCCGGCCTCCGCCCTGTGCTGCCCTTCAGTGGGGGCGGCGATGCTGGGCTGCCCCACCTGCGCCGTCCTGAGGAGCCCCCGGGAGTCCCGGACGGGGTAACCGTGAGGACAGGGAGTGACGTGCTGGTAGAAGCACATCGCTGTCGCGTTGCCCTGCGGGGAGCCCCGTGGAGCACGCCGCAAGGCCCGTGGGTCCGGGCTATGCTCTCAGACGAAAATCGGCCACGACGTGGCCTGTGCTGCCCTCCGCGTGAGGGAGGGGGCTCTGGGGTCCTGGTGGGGTAGGGACGGAAGCAGCCGGGCTTGTGCCACCCGGGGGTGCCATACAGGGACGCTCCGGAGGGCACCAGCTTGGGGGAGCACCAGCTCGGGGAGCACTCCGGAGGTTTGGGGCCGGGCGGTCTGCACCCCTGGTGTCCGACGGTGTCCCCGAAGGAGGACGCGCAGCTGTGCGGGCGGCTCGCACCCAGGGTGGGGGTGGGGTGAGCCAGCACCCATCCGCCCCACCCCTGCCGGAGGCCAGCAGTCCTGTGGCGGAGGCCGGGGTGGGGCGGGGGTGCTGTGTGGGGACAGGCCTGTGACGTCTGAAGGACAGGCTGAGACCGTGGCGGTCAGCGGTCAGCACACTTCCGACTCGACTACTCCGGCCCCTCGGCTTGTTCCAAGTCCTTTCGGGTGTCACTAGGATTGTTTTTTGAAGAAACAGAAGATTATATTTTTTACAGAGAGCAAGCTGTTTTTCTTATTTTTGTATCATTTTTCAGATGTAATTTTTACCTTTGCTCCAATCCTAATTTGCTGGTTTGGGTGAGACCCGGTGGCATCGCTCAAGCCCCCCTTCCCAGGGGACTGGAGCGCCACACTCCAGGGCCTGGGCAGCGCCCCCGGGGAGCCCCGCCGACCAGTCTGATGAAGCACACCCCCCGCCCGGTCGGTGAGATCTGAGGGCACCGCGGCCCCCACCGGCTCTGGCCCCGCCGGTCGCCCTTCCGTAACACCGGAGGCAGAACCCGCTCTAAACCCTGGCTTTGGCTGCCACAAAGCTGGACCGGCTCCCGTGGCCCCGGGGAGGGTCTCGGGCACACCTGGGGGATGCCCCCCCCCAGCGGACCCTCCCTCCGTGCCCAAGGTGCGTGGGGACGGGCTGCAGGGTGATCCCCCGGGGGCCGCTCACACCCCTCCCCAGGGCCGCCAAGGGGTCGGGGTGTGGCCTGTCTACGGGGTGGCCTCACCCTCTTCAGCCGAGGGGGTGGTTTGGTTTGAGTCCCTTTTGAGGAGAAAGGGAGATGAAAACTGACCACGAGCTGAGCACGGCCACGGGGGGGAACGCGGACCCCTGTGGGCTCCGAGCCTCCTGGCCGAGAGCACCATCGTTTCTATTGAATTGTGTAAATCTGGGCAGATGTTTCATTTCTATGACTAATCACTGAACTAGAACGAATGTTACATTTTTCTACGTCTGAAGCTTCAGTCTATTTTGGATCCTGTAAATAGTCGTTACTGCTGTCGTTTTTGTTCAACAAAAGGATTGTACTGTATGAAGAAACGATGAAAAACCCCTGTAACATTTTTTTAAGAAAACTTTGTTTGTTTAAAGAAGTCTTGTATAAATTATAATTTTTATTTAAATAAACCTGAAATGCTTTGTGCTCAGGGGAGCGGTGGGGGTGGGGTGCGGACGGCTTTCCTGGCGGAGCCTGTGTGCATCACAGGCAGCTGGAGTGGGGCAGCCCAGCACCCCTCGGTGGCCCAGGAGTCCCGCGGCCACCGGGCACTGGAGGGTCCCGGGGGTGAGGTGGGTGCCCGGGGCCTGTGGGACAGGGCCACGAGGGAGGGGCTGGGAGGAGCAGGGGACAGGGGCCCAGGCTCCAGAAGACTGCGGGCCGGTGGGGCCAGCGCCTGCAGGTGGGGGCATCCGGGGCCTGGCAGCAGGTGGCAGTGGGCGGTGGGGCCATCGCTTGCGGGGCTACGCAGGAGCCCGCAGGAGGTACAGAAGTGGCGCCTCGGGTTTGGGGTGCAGGTCCCGGCCCCGCCTGGGCGTGACCTCCCTGGGAGCGGTGGGCATCTTTGGCACCCTCCCCTGGGGTCTGAGGCTGAGCCGTGGGGGGACTTGAGGACCCTGGGCAGAGGGGTCCCCGGTGGCACCTATGGCTTGGCTGGTCCAGACACGGACACTGGAGACAGAGATGCAGGAACCCTGCCGACTTCTGAGCCGCCCGCCGTCCCGCACCGAGCTGAGCTGCGCCCGGCCTCCGGCACCCCGAGCCCACGGGAGCCCCCGGGAGGCACAGCCCCACCCGGGTTCCACCAAGTGACAGGGACCCGGTCTGAAGAGCCAGCTCTGCCCCCAGAGGCGTGGCCTTGTGTACCGCATCCATCCACCTGTTCGTCCAGCCTTCTCTCCGTTCGCCTTTACGTCTGTCTGTCTGTCTGCTGCAGCCACCGTCCTAGGGGCTGGGATGTAGCCACGAAGGGCCAGAGGCCCCTGGGAACTGCCCTGCTGTCCCCCGACCCGACTCTGCGGGCAGCAAGAGAGGGCTTTCCTAGCCGCAGAGCCCCCACTCGCCACTGCAGCACAGCCCGACGGGACGGTCCTTGTGAGCGCCCGGCCCTGCTCTCTGGAGGCAGAAGGGTGAGGAGGGGTCCGAGCCTAGGGTGTGGGCGGCACAGGCCCTGCCCCCTCGCTCATGGGGCTCCCGGGTCTACATCTGTTTGACTATTTAAGGTGCCAATAAAGTAGCACAGATCTGCCTAATTGGGATTCTGGAGACTGTTTGCTAACTGTATTCAGTACGTTGGTTTCCTTCGGGGGCCTGGACACTGCATTTTAGCAGCGCTCGGGAGACGTCGTCCGTTGGCCTCACCCGAGGGTCCGTGAAACCAAAAAAGGCGCCTTGGTGCCCCTGTACTACTTGGGCCTTAATTCTTGGGGAGACGGAGCCCCTGCAATGCTCCTTCTGGCTGCAAATTGGAAGAGGACCCTCCCCTCCCCCACCCCCCCAGGGTGAGAAGGGTCTGCAGACGGAGGAGACGGGAACACGGTGATTTGTAAGGCTCTGTGCACTTCCCTTCACGAGCACCTGCTGTTTTCCGTACCAGCATTTAGTGAGCGAGTTTTAGGACCGTGTGAGTACACGGGGGAGGGGGGGTGTCGCTACGAGGTTAGGAGCCAGGGGTGATGATTCTGTCCACCCACGGGAACTGACGTGCAGGGCTGACCCCCTACGTGTCCGCAGTGACGCAGGCTGGAGTGAGGGTACTGGGGGTGCGATGGCCCTGACGGCTGCACGGGTCTCAGGCAGCCACTGCCCGCGAGGTGAGGAAGGCTCCGGAAGACCCTGTCCTGTGCAGGTGTGTGTGGGGAAGCCCGCCCCTCCCCCTGCAGGGGCCTGGGGCCCCGCTCCCTTATGGCACCGAGGTCCCTAGCGGTGTGAGCTGCGCAGATGGGAGCTCACGAAACGTGTGAGGTCGTAGAGGCGGCCCCTCGAGTCCCCCCACGGGTGATGACGGGAGTGCGGAAACCGCAGTTACAGAGAAGTTGTCACTCGTACGTTTTCTGCAGGCTGCGTGATGCAGTCACAAGATCACATTTTTGTGTAAAATAAAAAAAGTGTTTTTAGAAGGTAACAGCCCCAAAACACAGTTTTTAGGAATATACCTAAACAGAATTAAAAGAGTCTTAAGAGAAAACTCTAGAACTATTGAAAAACCTGAGTGAGGACCTTTATTTTTCCCCCAAATGTTTATTTTTGAGAGAAATAGTGCAAGCCGGGGAGGGGTAGAGAGGGGGAGACCCAGAATCGGAAGCAGCTCCAAGCTCCGAGCTGTCAGCACAGAGCCCGACGCGGGGCTCGAATTCACGAACCGTGAGATGAGGACCTGAGCCGACATCGGACGCTCAACCGGCTGAGCCCCCCAGGCGGCCCCGAGTGAGGACCCTGCTAAGTGGGAACGAGTGTAGCGTTCATGTGGCGGGAAGTTCAGTGTCGTGCTAAAACGTCTCAACGTGTCGAATGGAGCAGCCTCCGAGGAGGGCACACGGCGGGTCTCCACTCACACAGTGAGCAAAGCGAGCAACACAACAATGTGCCTGAGCATCTAAGCGTTCAGGAGAGAGAACCCCTCTTCTGGCCGTGGGGCTCAGTAGCCGTGTCCTGCCAGATAAGCCGACGGAAGGTGGACGGACAGGAGCAAGCCGCGCCACGTTTGTGATGTGTGACGTGAAGCCCCACAGAGGCCGTCGGACCCCAGGGGTTATGTGCCACTTCAGTAAAAGGACAATGAACTTTGTCAAGAAGTGACAAGATAAAGGCCAAGACATCAGGGTTTGGGGGGGGCACCTGGGGGGGCTCAGTCATCGAGCATCTGACTCCAGCTCAGGTCACAGTCTCGAGGTTCGTGAGTTCAAGCCCCACACAGGGCTGTCTGCCGTCGGCACAGAGCCTCCTTAGGGTCCTGTCTCCCTCACTCAAAAAAAAAAAAAAAAGGAAAAGGAGTTCAGCCTTCTTAGGTAACATGACTTTACTGGGGAATTTTTTTTTTTTTTAATGTTTTATTTATTTCTAGGAGAGAGAGAGAGACAGCGAGAGCAGGGGAGGGTCAGAGAGAGAGGGAGTCACAGGCTGAAACAGGCTCCAGGCTCTGAGCTGGCAGTCAGCACAGAGCCCGACGTGGGGCTCGAACCCACGAACCGCGAGATCATGACCTGAGCGAAAGTCGGACGCTTAACCAACTAAGCCACCCGGGCGCCCCAACTGGGGAATTTTTTTTAATGTTTATTTTTTTGAGACAGTGAGAGAGCTAGAGCAAGTGGGGAGGGGCAGAGAGAGGGACACCCAGAATCCAAAGTGGGCTGCAGCCTCTGAGCTGTTAGTGCAGAGCCCAACGTGGGACTCGAACCTGTGAACTGTGAGATCATGACCTCAGATGAATTCGGACTGAGACTCCCAGGCGCCCCTACTGGGGAATCCCATGTGGGCAAGAATAGAAGATTTAGGCTTGTGCACCCCCACCTTGGTGCCTCCCCAGCGGTAGATGGGGGTCTGCTCCCGGAAGGGGTGAGGGGAGGGCTACCTTCTCAAAGGGACGTCTACGTCCTGCTTTTAGGTGAGGATGCGGGGGGGGGGGGGGGGGGGGCAGGAAGCTCCTTACGCATTTGCTACCTGATGGTCTTCAGCTCAAAACAAGCCTGTGCCAACACAGCGTATGCTGACCCCCACACAGGTAAAGGGAACGGCACACAGAACACCGGGCTCCGTGGAGGGGCAGGGGGGGCGTGGGCACGCAGGGACTTCCTGGCTGGGAGGGACACGCCACTCATTTCACTCTGGCTGTTTAAATCGTACACAGGTGTTTTCACAAAACGTGCTCTGCACTGAAAATAATGGGAACTTACAAAAGACAGGAAAAAAAAAAACCTCTGCCCATAGTAACTTTATTTTTGTCTTCTCAAACATGTCAGGGCAAATACACCATTTTCTAATCTTGAAACCTGCAAGATTAAATGAAAACGAAGCCGCCTCCTCCATCCGCCCTTCCCGGTGACACGAGATTGTACAGGAAGAGTCGCGCCTGCCCGTCGAGCGGGTCCCTCCTCGGGAGCCGGCGCGCGCGGGAGGGTCAGAGCTGAACTACTGCGCGGGCGTTTGTGCCACGGAGCCGCAAAGGAGGTTAGAGCCTCGACTAACCCTTCTCGGTGACCCTAAGTCCTCACTAGCCAGCTGTCACCCCTGAGGTACACGCTGGGGCTCCAAGTGGGGACGTCATGGAGCTCAGGACCCCTGCCCACGAGGGAATGTCTGGAAGGTACTTCCGTCCCGTGCGGAGACTGACAAGGAGCGCTGGGGGGCGGTCACACAATCACAGGCGCCCTGGGGACCGCCCAAGGCCTGCGGTGTCGGCGTGTGGTGGGCCATCCGGGGACCGTGGGGCCGGCTTTCTCGGCGGATGTGAATGTGGACTCCGGCCCCGGGCTGGTTTTCTAAACTCAGGCCACTCCAGTCCTGTTTCGGGAAACCCTGTCAAAGTAACACAATCCACAGCGTGGCCCTGGGTGGCCAGGAGCCCCCTGGGAGGCGCTCACACCCCCCCGCTCAGACCTGCTAGTCCTGCGTCTGCTTCCTTCCGACCAGCAGCAGCACCAACAACAATCAGGAACAGCCAGCGACTATTTACTTTTCTTACCCAGACTTTTCACCCACCCGCTAATTATTAAACCACTGGATTTGCACAATCACTTGATAAAGTGATCTTATTAAAAAAGCCAGTTAAAGCGGCCCTTTTTCTGTGACCTGCAGTTGAATGATAAAATAGGACATTTCATGTATACTTCAAAATATAAACACTGCAGGTTCTAAAAATATATTGTCTGTTAATGCTAAAATGACTACCTGCACCTACGTGAGGTCAAGGGCACTCGTAAAGTGCATGACGGCTTGTAAACCGCCTCTTGTAACAGGCTTCCTCTCTCGTTGCAAACTGGAGCTCAAGCCGCGTCTTTTATTTCAAATAAAGCTGTTTTAGGTGCATCTCCCATACAGCCAAGCACGGATACAAAGGAAACGGGGCCACAAGCGCATTCAGGGGCCGCCCCGGGGCAGGTGGCCACGCCCACAGGGAACCCCTGGGCTCCAGTGGAAAACTATCGACAATACTAACCCTGAAGACACTATTCATGCTATTCTGGCTGAAAAGGACGACAGTTTCAGTAACTACGTAGAACTGAGTGCGAAGAAAAGCTCCAGTCTGGACCGAGTGTATAGACTCGGGGCCTGCAGCCAAGGAGCCCCCGGACTCGGGACCCCCACCCCCACCCCAACAGGGGTGAACGCGGCACGCACAGGTGGATTTTTCTCTACTGCGAGCCAGCTTCTCGTGCGTCCCCTACCCCCGCCCGCCCGCCCCGGGGTGGCCGTAAAGCGCCGGCATCTCGCCGTGTCTGGGGCCCCTGATTGTTCCTGCGACCAGCCGACTGTCCGAGAAACACGACTGCGATGAAGGCAAGGACCCGGCTTTTCTCCCAGCCTGTGTCCCCACGCCAATGCTCCGCTCCCGAGGTGTCCCCGGAGCAGGGCTCCAACGCGTTGTAGCTGTGCGGGACAGAGAAGGTCTGGAAGTGTCCTGAGCAGAAGTTCAGTTCCAAAACCCGATCATAACAACTACAGAGTGAGTCGTGCCCGGTGGGTCTGTGAGCCGGGAAACCTCGCCCGGCCAGGTGGTGTGACCTCATGTTCACCGTCCCTACAATGATTGCGGGAGAGCCACTGACGGGCCCTTGGAAAATCCGCACTGTTGGCGTCGTTAAAATCTAAGCAGCCAGCGCCCCCAAACTGCCAGGTGCCACGGGCTGAGGATGAGTTACGTGAAACGCAGCCCAAAGATTTACATAGAACCGAAAATGCCAGACGTGGTCACACAACTGACGTAGATGCTTTTTCTAAAATCAAGAGTTAACTATCAAAAATAAATTTCTAAATTTAAATGTGTATATCAACGTAATTGGTCTGCAATAATTCTCTTAAATAACGTTCACGGTTCCCAAGCACAGCGAGGCAGGGGTGAGTGACGGCATCTCAGCCGTGTGCTTCTTCCTTAGGCTTCTCCTCGATCCCCCGCGCAAAGAGGCGGACCAGCTGGCAGTGGACCCTGCGGAGACAGAGGGTCCCCTGTCACCCCCGGTGTCCCCCTGGCCCCTGGCCCCACAGCTGGTCAAGGGTGGAGGTGGGGGACTCATCCTGGCCGTCTCTGGGCCCCACCCCGAGGGGACTGGTCAGGGGCTGGCAGACCCCACTCTAGCGGAGCGACACCCCCCCGGGGGACCCCTCCCTGAGCTTCCGGGACCGCGGGCAAGGGTCTGTGCAGGGCGGCCCCCCCCTCGTGCAGGATGTGCGGGAGGTTCAATCTCCCAAGGCAGTGGGCCCCACCCCAGCCAGAGCCCCGGGGGCTGGGGAGGGGCCGGGGTGCCCTGGAGACCCCTGCCTTCCAGCAGCACCGGGACGAGAGCCAGAGGGGCTCAGCGGTCAGCGTGGCGGTCCGGTCCCCACCGCCAGTGCCTCCTTCCCAATTTATTAATGATACCACAGCCTCCCCTGAGACAGTAACAGGGCCGCCCGGGCGGCTCAGTCGGTGAAACACCCGACTCCTGGTCTCAGGCTGTGGTCTCACAGGTCGTGGGCTGGGGCCTCACGTCAGGCTCCGTGCTGATGGGTGTGGAAACTGCTGGAGATTCTCTCTCTCTCAAAAATAAATAAATAAGCTAAAACAAATTATTTAAAGATGATCCATAATAAAAGCTCCATAACTAAGTCACCTGCTGGTCAGGGCATGGTGATATTTATCAAGATATGTAGCATAGGGGCGCCTGGGTGGCTTAGTCGGTTAAGCGTCCGACTTTCGCTTAGGTCATGATCTCGCGGTTCGTGGGTTCGAGCCCCGCGTCGGGCTCTGTGCTGACTGCCAGCTCGGAGCCTGGAGCCTGTTTCAGTCTGTGACTCCCTCTCTCTCTGACCCTCCCCTGCTCATGCTGTCTCTCTCTCTCCTAGAAATAAAGAAAAAAAAAAAAAACATTAAAAAAAAATTAAAAAAAAAAAAGATATGTAGCATATATTTCACAAAAGAACGCTGTTCCTAACTTTCAAAGTATCTTTTTTTTTTTTTTAGTAAATCCCTAAGCCAGCATTAAAAATAATTTTTTTTTAAAATATTTTTATTTATTTCTAGGAGAGAGAGAGACAGCGTGAGCAGGGGAGGGTCAGAGAGAGAGGGAGACACAGAATCTGAAACAGGCTCCAGGCTCTGAGCTGGCAGTCAGCACAGAGCCCGACGCGGGGCTCGAACCCACGAACCGCGAGATCATGACCTAAGCGAAAGTCGGACGCTTAACCGACTAAGCCACCCAGGCGCCCCAAAAATAATTTCTGTAATTTGTAAAATGTGTTTACAAAAGCTCAATCCCCGTGCATACAACTGTCCTGGCCGGCTTCACCGGGGTCCTGTCCCTACCCTGTGTCCTAGGGTCTGAGCCAGGCCGTCACAGCCACACTGACCGCGAGGTGCCCACAGGGACAGGTGTGAGCAGACGTTGGCTCCATGAGGCTGAGGCCGCCTCTCCCAGGGGCCTGGCCAGGTGCTAACACAGGTGGCTCGATGCCGTGCGCGGGGCCCGTGGCCCCTGGGCCAAGAAGCCATTTAAAGCGGGTACACACAGTGATGTGCACCTTATCCGAGGTGAGGGTGTGGGTGGGGGCTGCAGGCCCCTCCGTGTTGCCTCCCACATGGTCCACACTCCGTGGTCAAGGAGCCTATGGCCTGGCCTCCGTAAATAAGCTGGGATCGCCCCAACAGCACAGGACCCTCACCTCATTCAACAGCCTGAGCTTAAAAACTACTCCTTTTACTGTGTGGGGACAGAACTTTCTCTGCACTCATGCTTCTCTAGGTAACACGTGTCATCAGATGGCAGACCCCCTCGGGTCTGCAGAGGACCCCCTGCCCACGGGCCAGCGGCCAGAGGAGCAGGCCTGGCACCATCCCCCGGAGGCCGCAAGCCGGAGTCCAGCGCCGACTGCGGATGGGGCTCCCTGAGGCTGGGGGGGCTCCTGTGGATCCCGTGAAGGCAGCTGGCTTGTGAGTGTCATCACTTAGGAGAACAGAGAGAAAATGCCTGAGCAAAGGGACAGAAGTCACTGTTGGGGCTCCGGGAGTAGAAGAGAAAGATGGCGACATGGCACGGGGCGGGGGGCGCGGGGGGGCTCGGGCGATCCTGGGATGATGCCACACACCGGCATCTTCCCCAGAGGCTGCTGGCGGGGCCTCAGACGCCAGATACATGGACACACGTGTGCGTTTACACCGCACCCTCACGCTTCGGGTCACGGGGCCCCCGGAGGCACCCTCGGGCTGTCACTCACCGGACCTCGATGGCGGAGCTGCTCAGGATCTCCCCGTCGCAGTTCCAGGAGCTGCTGGCTAAGGGGCAGCAGCACGGGGGGCGGTCGCTGCAGATCTGCCCGAAGCGCGTCTTGCCCCTCTCCTTGAGGTCGCTGTCTTCGTCCTCCACGTGCTTCGACATGAACTGGAATTTCCTGACGCGATAAACTTCGACAAACTCGAAGTCAAACTGCAGAGAGACACGGAAGGGCTGGCGTTCTGGCAGGTGCTGCGCCAGGGAGGCAGCCCCTTCCGTGCCCGCAGCCCGCCGCCCGCGCGTCCACAGCAACCACGCTTTCTCAAGATCCAGGTAGTTCCCTGGTGGTAACTTGTCAAATTCTTCATCTTTTTAACAAGCACTGTCTTATAAGCCACATAAAAACACTATTATGCTAAACCTGAAATTCCATGTAAAAAAGGAAAACAATCCTACTAGCATCAGAGACTAACCCACATTTCCACATCTGTCTCGTTAGGGTCGGGTCTTCCGTTGTATTAACTACGAGGCTGCCGGCGGCTTCGGGAAGGTTTGCCGGAAGGAGGCTTGTGTCTCAACGAGCTCTCAGGAGGAGGAGCCACCACTAGGGGCTTCGGACGCGTGAAGCTCAGACCAGAGACCTGACCTTGTTCCCTGGGATTCAGCCATGGATTCCTTAATGCACAGTGGTCAGGGTTGCCCGTAGAGACACTACACTACCTGCATAGACACTGCCCGCATGGACACTGCCCGCATAGATACTGCCCGCATGGACACTACCCGCGTAGACACTGCCCACAAGGACACTACCCGCGTAGACACTGCCCGCATGGACACTACCCGCATAGACACTGCCCGCACGGACACTGCCCGCATAGACACTGCCCGCACGGACACTGCCCACAAGGACACTGCCCGCACGGACACTGCCCGCACGGACACTGCCCACAAGGACACTGCCCGCACGGACACTGCCCGCACGGACACTGCCCGCACGGACACTGCCCACATGGACACTGCCTGCATAGACACTGCCTGCATGGACACTGCCCGCACGGACACTGCCCGCACGGACACTGCCCGCATAGACACTGCCCACCAACTGGGATGGGGCAGAGCAAGCTCCCTACTCACCTGGTCGTACTGGTTGGTGTGCCTGACAAGAAACCTCAGGAAGTTGAACCGGGAGCATTTCCGGATAAGGATGAGGTCAGAGGACCCGTCCCCCAGGTGGGCAGCCGGGGACAGGCCCTGGGGACTCCGGGGACAAGCACAGGACATGTTTGTGGCGTTGATGGCCAGGAACTTCCCGCAGACGACTTTCCACTCTTCCACCTCCTCTGAAGCAGAAAGAGGCACTGCAGACGCACGTTAAAGACGGGGTGGGCGCCCCGGCACCAACCACAAGCCCCCGTGCGACGGACCCCTCGGCACCAGCATGAACACCTGTACCAGCCGCTGTGCCCGGAGGGTGGCCTCCGAAGAGGCAGGGCTGTTTCACTGGCCCTCACGTGGGCTGTTTGGACAACTCAGAACAGGGGTCACCGAGCCTGGCCCGCCGCCAGACTCTGTGTCAGCCGAGAATAATTTTCACCTCGGTCAACAGTTTAAAGAAATCAAGTATTTTGTGACTTACGAAAATTAAATAAAACTCTAATTTCAGTGTCTGCAGAGAAGTTTCTGGAATGCTGCTGCGCCCACCCCCTTCCCAGGGCCTGGCAAAGCCCGCAGACGAGAGTATAAGCCCTTGACAGAGCCTCTCGCTGCCCCCCGTCCAGAGCGTCCTGGAGAACAGGAGGGTGGCGTTTCCGCGAACTCTGTCCCCACGGCTGGCGAGCAGCAGCCACCTGTCGCTGCCCGGAGCCCGGGACAGAGGGACGCGCCCTGCCACACCGACAGCGGGAACGACGGGCAGCGGGAAGACGCAGTGCCCTCAAAGATCCCGCTACTTCTACTCTAACACACACGGCAGTGACGGTGAGGCTGTTTCGGGTCATTACCCGTGTTCTCCAAGCCGTACAGCGACTTCTTCTGCTCGTCCTCCAGCTGCTGCTTGCTCTGCCTGCACACGAAGCATCTGAAAGATAAGGACGTCACCTTAGGGACCCAGATGTGACAACGGAGTGCACTCTCCGTACGCATAAAACACTGCAATTCTTCTCATGCGACAGCACGCTCTAACCAAATCCTTGGCTCAAAGTACTCCCTTTGCTCGTGAATTTGAAATCTCCCAAGTTAGATCTTTTAAAACTCACACGTGCACACATGTCCTTCTCGAAAGCGCGTAAGCACGTACACAGACCATCCTGAGGCCGTGGTGCCCAGAGCCAGTGTGGCGTGGCCCCACGGTCAGCGGAGTGGTGGGTGGGGTGAAGGATAAGCAGGTGCGGAATCCACAGCACAGATAACATAATGGTATTTCCCCCGTTGGTAACAGGAAAGCAGACAATTCGGGACTCGGTGGTCACTCTGCACCGGCATCTGCGGTCCTGGGCGCCGCTGGGCTCCATGTGCAACGGTGTGTGTTCACACTGGTGAGATCAGCGCCTCAGCTCAGCTTAGTGAGTCTACCTCTAACTGTTGTGATTTATGGCCTCAAATTCTTCATTGAAGAAGGAAAGGAGCTCGGGAGCCTGTGGGCCCGGAAGCCGTGCACTGAGCCACGCCGTCACCGGGCACCCCAGAACCACGGTCTCCCGTCTACACTTAGAAAGCACGTGTCCCTGATAAACGCACACCCCCAGCCAGCCCAGCTTTATTTCACACCGTCTGCAATAGAAACACACGGAAGAACGTGCTTACCCTGCACGGCAGGGTTGTCTGTCCCTGGGAGACCCCACTGTGTGTCGCGCTGGCAGGAAAGACACCGTCCCTTCGTAGCAGTGATGCGAGAGGAAGGTCTTCAAACCTGAGGACGGAGCACAAAGTAAAGCAGCCCAGGGTCATTTTCTGGCCATGAGACCAACAGCTACACCTGTTCTGGGAAACAGCACGCCTCCCCCGTGCTCCGCAGCTGCACCTGTTGAGGACACAGTGCATCCCGAGACCCATGTTATTGCAGCGGTGAGGGATCCGGCCATGCTGGGTGCCGGGTCACCAGGGCTGCCTCTGACGGTGCACGTCTCTGCCACCAGTGACTCCTCCTGGCTGCCCCCGACACTTGCAGATGGCCTCCCGACGCGGCAGGGGCGCGCCAAAGGGCAGGGCCACCACAGCCGGATCTGCTCCTTGCAGACTGTTGGTGACGCCCCCACGTCTCCCCGGCTCTGCCGCCCCAGGTCGCCCAGGACCAGTCTGGCATCTGGAAGAACTCCGACAGTTGTCTGCACCGCCGAGGACTGGTCCGGCCCGTCTGGAGGACCCTGGTGTGCCATCCGCTCTGAGCGGGCCTGGCCGGCCGCAAGCCTACCCCAGCGTGCATGGCACGGACCCAACCAGCTGACTGGAGAAAGCCCGGCAGGACGTGGGAGTGGGGTCTGAGGGTGCCCTGGGCCACTGGGGGCCGTGTGCGTCCTGCAAACGTAGCAGTGGCACCACTCCCCCGAGCCAGATGCCGGGCCGGTGCGGGCTGTGGTCACATGTGGCGCCACTGAACCCATCCCCGCCCGGCCTCCCGCCTGCTCTACTGGCACCGGGTGTGTGGCTGGGCACCCAGGGCCCGCTCAGGAACTACCTGCCCTGCGGAGAAACCACTTCCCAGTGGCCCCTGGCGTCCACCTTCCTCCCTCCACTCCTCCCCCGGGGACGACCCTCCAACTCGGCTACTGGTAAAGGGAAGGGGCTGACCGCTCGACCCGCAGGGCGCCCCTCTCCCGGTGGCACTGCCCCGTCTCTGCCCGTCCTAGACGACGCACGAGCAGTCCCACCGGCCCTACAATGTCACCTCTCTGGCTCGCAAACAACCGCCCAGCATCTCTAGACTGTGCGGCGGGTTCCAGGTGGGGACGGAGACGCGGACGGGACACACCTCGCGTCCTAGCGGAGAAGTGACCGTGGGCCAGAGCGCGGCCCACGGGCTCGGGGAGCGAGTGCCCAGCTCAACAGCGGGTAATCAGGGAGGTGGTGCCAGTCTTACTGAGATTCTTTCTAATTCCCTCATTCCTGTTCCTAATTGCAGTTCGGTTAGATGCGTTACTTGGTCTCTAACGTTTTCACTGCAAAGCCACACTGTAGTTTTAATTTAAACAGGGCTTTGCAAGGCCTCTAGCCCAGCACGTTACTATCCGCTTCTCTCACGAGAAAAGCGTCAGATTTTAATACTTGCGATTCTTCACCTTAACTTACTACAGACTGACCCAAAAGGAAACTGGAAAGGGCAGTGACCGGGTGAGTGACAGTCGTCACACACCACCAAGGGGCTCGTCTGGGCGGCAGGCGTGCCCCCTCCAGACGCCGCTCCCGTTCACACTCCTTTCCAGGTGTGTCCGCAGGTGCCTGAGGTCAGCGGACGGTCAGGGCTCTGCGCTGTCCGCGATGACGTCGTGCGGCCCTGTGAGCCGCAGCAGGAGAAGCGGGCCGCGGTCCCCGGGGCGTCTGGCCTGCACTGCTGGTGCCCCGGAGCCCGTCACGAGCAGGGCCACCGCTCCGACCGTGCGCTTTGCAGACGCGTGTAAAAGCACGGGGTTACCTGAAAAGTCGTATCTGACGAGGCCCATCCACCGCTTCTTCTCGCTGTCCTTGATGATGTCCCCGTAGAAGCCGTAGCCCAGCAGGGACACCGAGTACCGCAGCAGCGTGCTGTTGTGATGAACCGCGGACACGTCCATGGGCAGCGAGTCCCCTGCGGGAGAGACACGGCGGGCCCCTTTCCAGTCCCACACCGCCTCCTCCACCCTGGACGGCACCGCGAGGGCATGGAAGCACCCCAGTGCGGCCCAGGGGCCTGCCGCGTGCACAGACAGGGACCTACCCACGATGATGTGCAGAGCTGATGTCTCCGCATCATTCGTGCCGACCGTGGAAAAACACACACAATCCGTGGACCCTGCAGCAGGAGGGAGAAAGAAGGCCCTTCACATCATCTAGCTGAGCGGCCGCCTCTTGGCCCCCGAGTAGATGCGGAAATAAGGACTGAACACAATTCAGCTATAAAATGAACGCTACAAATACTGAGACTGATTCGTCAGAAGCACCGAGATCGGGGGCGCCTGGGGGGCTCAGTCGGTTGAGTGTCGGGTCTTCAGCTCAGGTCATGATCTCGCTGTCTGTGAGTTCGAGCCCCGCGTCGGGCTCTGTGCTGACAGCTCGGAGCCTGGAGCTGCTTCGGATTCTGTGTCTCCTCTCTCTGCCCCTCCCCCACTCATACTGTCTCTCTCAAGAATAAACAAACATTTAAAAAAAAGAAGAAAGAAGGAAACACCAAGACCGGCCTTCAGCAGGACCCACTATCCTCTCACAGGACCCCCAGAGCCGCTCCTGAACCCCGTCCCCAGGAGCAGAGCCCCAGAGAACCGTGGGCGGCTGTGGCAGCCGGGCGTGTAGCTCAGCGCCCCAGGGTGTGTATGTCCCCCCTGCACACACCGGCGGCCACGAGACCCAGAGAACTGCCCCGCACAGAGGCACCACCAGCGGGAAAGCATACGCAGAGCCAGCACGACTCGGGAAGCCCCTAGGAAAAGCCCCGAGGATGCCTGCGCCCCAATACCAGCACACAGAAGGCACCGTGACCCATCCCTGGGTCATGGGCACGACGGCTGTCACCTGACAGACAGGGGGACCTCGCTGGCCACGGCGAGCACACGCTTCACACGGACGTGCTTAGCTGCACACTGGGGTGACCTCGGCGTGCCCTCGGGGTGACCTCGGCGTGCCCTTGGGGCACCCGGCTAGTGGCTGGACCTCCCAGGGCGTCCGCCCCAGTTCTAACTGGGCCATGATCCAGGCCACCGTTCCCAGCTGGGGCGCTTATTTGTAACAGGCTCCTGAACCCCACTCTCCCGAGATCCTGACTCAGCAGGTCCGGGATGGGGCTGAGCCACGAGAACTTCCACAGCCCGCGGCAAGGCTGCACAAGCCTGGCGCAAGTTTCCTGCGAACCCAGCGGTGACAGGAGCCGGAGTGGCACGGTACTGCCCCAGAGACCTCACCCGGCACAGACCGAGACCCGCCAGCAGGGCCCAGAGGCTCCGCCCCCGGCCAATCTACAAGTCCCTTGATGCACCCGGAAAGTTCAAGGTTCCTGACAGATGTGTCGGATTGCAAGCACCCTCTAGTGTCTCTTCGAGTAACAGAATCTGGTCTGGTTTGTGATCCGAGTGGACGCTCTTAATTATTTAATCTAAACTGACCTGTGGCTGCTGGATGTTGGTAAGTTGTATAAACACACATATATCTTTCATACACGGATTTTTCTTTTTTATCAACCTTCATCTAAAGGCTTCGGTGATACCTCATTCCAAAAATGGGCCAAGTGCACGTTTTTAAATAAAGATTTAAAAGTACAAGAATGACTAATCTGAAAATATTAAAAATTAGTATCGACAGAATCCACGAAACACCACATGGTCTCAGACTCTCCCGGCCCTCACTCATTGTCAGGATGAAGGGTACTTGGATAACATAAATGTTTCCGAGAGAGCAAACTCCAGAAGAGCTAGCTAATTAATTTGAACCATGCCCTGAGGTAGTCCTTCCATTCCTCAGAACTTTCCGGAACGTCTGCAGAGCCCACCTGCTCCCCTTGTGTGCCGAGGGCCCTGTTCACTTTCCTGGGAAGCCATCCTTCACGACCAGAGCCGATGGGACCCCCGCACTGGCCTGCATCTGCAGGGATGGAACGTGTACGGTCAGTGGGGCCCCTTGCCCTGGGGCCGCCCCACACGGGGGTCCCCACAGGGGAGCTCAGGGTCTCGAGAAGGACCCTCACGGGGCTGGAAGGTCTGCGAGTGCAGGGACGCCTTCCAGAGCCACAATGAAGAGGGGCCCATGCTTCCCAAGCATCCAGAGGCGTCTCCTCTTGAGAGGCGTGGGTGGGGCAGGTGAGGCGACCGGCCCTTCAGGTCGGGTGTCCTGGGCCGGGCTGGGGTGTGGCCCCATTTCTGGAGTCAGAGTTCGACCTTCTACCCAGGTGTAAGACGGACGGAGCGGTGCTTGCGTTCCAGGACTTAATTCTAGATCCTGCCATCGCCCAGGACTGACGGGACGCACGTTCTCTCTCGGGGACACCTGCGTCCTTTGGGCAAAGCATGTGGCAGGTGAACGGAGCTTCTGATGGGTTTCACGGACTGTTTTACTAAAAAGTCAGATTTTCAAAGGAGGTTATCACTCAGCTTCCCTCGTACCCAGGATCCTTCATGGGGCCGCCGCCCCTCTGCCGGCACCTGCTACCTGCCCCTTTCTCCCCCGAGGTCCCGCTTTCTGATGACGGCACACCCGCAGCCAGGACCCTCCTGCCCAGCCCCTGGGCTGCTCTCACCACTCTTCACCCCGGAAGGCCTCCCAGACCCCCGTGAGCAAGGGCCCCCACCCCTGCTCTGCTCTCTTCGTTATTCACCCACGGTCCGCGTCCCCGAACCCACGCGCCCGGCCTCGCTCACTCCTGGGCCGCAGCTGGGCCGGGAAGTCCGCGGAGAGAACGCACGAGCACAGGCGGACGAGACACACTGGCTTCGAAGAGGCCGGCCTGGCGCGGCTGGAGGGACCTCACTCGTCCCCACACCACTTGTCCCTCTAGCTTTCCGTCAGCGTCCCTTCAACAGCTCAGCCCTCGGGTCTGACCGAACTCCCGTGTGGCCCGGGCTTTAGCGGAGAGGAAGGCCCAGCGTCCAGCTGGAAACGCAAGGTCTGGCTCAGCTCGGGCGTCAGGACGTGGTTCCGGCGTCAACTCCCCAGACTGGGCCGTGTCCCCCCCCCCCCCACCGGGGCTCCACCGCGCAGCACAGGGACAGTGACGGAGGGCGCCGGCTGGAGGGCTGGCTCTCCTTGTGGACTCGCTAATACCTCCAAATACTCCAGCGGAAAGAGTACTCAGTGGGGCTGCAGCGGTGGCCTCCAGCCACACTCTGTCCCAGGACCTCCCGTCCGCCCCGAGGCTGCCAAACGCCATCTAGACCCCCGCACCCCCGCACCCCCGTCCCGACTGCCCCTTGGGAACGCCTGCCTCAGGGCCCCCCCGGGAACCCCGTCTCCGATCTCCATCAGAACTTCTGCCTCGTCGCGGCCCCTCCCCAGGCTGCCCAGTCCAACGTCACGGGGTCAGCCTGCCTGCCTGTCACCCTTACTCCTCCCTCTGACGGCGCCTGAGTCACAGCCGCCCACGGGGCCACCGGCCAAACCACCGGCGTCCTCCCCGGGCCTCCGGCAACGCTGCCCCGAGCGGAGCGCCGAGGGTGGTCTTCGGCCCACGCGGACGACGCTGCCCACCGGCCCGTACGCTCTTTCCGCGGTGTCTCACCGCACGGCCCCCAGGCCCCGAGCCCTGAGCCGGGCCCTTGTCCAGGCGCCTCTGCTACCCCAGTCCTGGCACCCCCGCTCCACGGGCCCCCTCTCCGCGGTGCACAGCTCATTCCCCTCGGCCCCCTGCCCCGCTAACCCTCAGCACACCCGCATCCGCGCTTGGCTGGCGCCCCGTCCGTCCCCTCAGAACGGCCCCGACCTCCTGCGGAGGGAAGCCAGCCCTGAACCCGTCTCCCCACAGCGCCCACGCTTCCCTGTGTGCTGGGGTCGTCTCCGTGGGCACAGGCCGCGCCCGTCTAGTTCCCCACTGCACCCCAAGGCCCAGAGGGCACAGAGCCGGCCTCGGTCGGTCCTCGCACGCCCCTGATGCAGCTGCACGGGCTCGCACACTCCCTGTGAAGGTTCGGAGCCTGGAGTTTTAAGCATTAGAGCTACCGCAGGCAAGTGGCGACAAAAGGCACGGAGGACAGTAGTTCAGCGCACGGACAAATAAAACTCAGGCGGGTCCGGAGCAGACCATGTCCAAAGCCCGAAGACAGAGGCCTCACCTGGGAAAACAGCTGAGATGTAACCAACCAAAGATAAATACGCTTAACATGCAAACACCGTCAATTGGAAAAAGACAAGGACTCTTCCTGACTGCAGGGTGGGGCAGAGAGGTCTCTGAGCTCCCACGGTCCGTGCCCTTCCGGGTGACCTTGAGACCCCTCATCTGCGGATAAAGGCGGCACCTCCCTCACAGAGCGGTCGTGACAACAGAATCCCATGATGCGCGACGTGGGGATGTTGCCCAGAGCCTGGCCCGCAGCCAGCCTGTGCCACTGCGGTCACAGGGCGGGGACACAGGGCACAGGGCAGAAGGTGCCTCATCCCCGTGGCCTTGTTTGCAAAGCCTTGAACGAACAATGCCCAGACTTTGCCTGGCTTAGCAGTGTGGCTTTTCAAAGAACTAGGCACTTCCTAGAAAGACCTAAAACCCGCTGAGCTGTGTCTTCGGGACATAGCCCAGGGGCCCACAGGGTTAAAAGGCCCCGGCCCCCATCCATCCTGGTCCCCGTGCATGGGCCACCCCCCTCCCCCAACCCCAGTCCCCCCAGGTCCGAGCTACAAGCCACTTCTAGAAGACGACCTGCTTTCCGGGGTCCCTTCCTCCTCGATTGTGTTCTGGGGTGCCGGTGCCCCCCAGGCTCCCTGCCCCCCTCCCCCTGCCAAATGCCAGTCCTTTGAGGGCAGACTGTCCCCCAGCTGCCAGCTGCTTGGCACCCGTGGGAAACAGGCATCGGGTAGACAGGACACGTCAGGGGTCCTTTCCTCGGCCATCGACCGTCTGTCAACAAGGTCTGCAACCATGTGCTTAAAATCCCCAACTCGGTAACAGAATAAACCTGAAGGAAGCTCAAGGGCCCCAGGATGGGGACGGGGACGCCCTACCTGCAGGGATGATGCCGATCCGGAGCGGGCTGGGCACCAGGGCTGCCCGGGGCTGGTTCTGGTCCACGCCGGCGTTCCTCTGCGTCCTGCCAATCAGGCCATGCAACACCTCGCTGAACGTGCCATCGCCACCAACGCAGACGATCCTGCAGGGGGCATGGCGTTAGGGACCCTTCCACCGTCCCCGCAATGCCACGCTATGTACTGCTCGTCGTGGGGTCCCGAGAGGGACAGGCGGCTGACTCGGGCCCACCGTGGCCGCCCTGTGCTCCCGGGGCCCCGTGGCCCCAACAGCCGCCACCCACCCGGGTCCTCCATGCATTCCCTCAGCAGGATCCTCTTCCCCCTGATGCCCGGCGCGGCCACGGGAGGCCAGGCTCCGGGAGGCCGCGAAGGGCAGGGCTGGGACCCAGCCCAATGGTGGCCCTCGGCCCCGCTCATCAGACAATGCCCTCTTCCTCGGGCCTAAAGCCTGGTGCTTCCCTTGAGGCCAAGCTGCTAGAACATGAGCAGACAATGCAGCCTGACACCTGCCTGACCACGGTCCCCCCACCCAGCAGGCGGTCTGGGAGCTGGAAGGTGGCGCCGCTTCCTGAAGCTCCCTGCCTCCTCCCGCGCTGCTGTCCCCGGCCCTCCGGCCCACCTGTCCCTCCTGGGGAGACTGGCCGCAGGCCGCCGTGCGGCTCCTGAACCCACAGACCCCGTGTTCCGGGTCGCCCTTCACATCCCCTGATGTCCCGGGGCCACTCGCCCACTGGAGACCCCGGCTCTGCTTCTCAGTGGCCCGGGGACAGTGACATCCCAACGGAGGACTCTGCTCCGAGACGGCGCAGTCGGCCCCGGTCACGCAGCTGGGGAGGCGCAGACCATGGTCAGACCCTGGAGTCAACCCCTTGGCTGTCTCTTGACCTTCATGCTGCTGGACTCGGGGGAGCCCAACCCATCCAGTTGAGCCCACGGCTCAGCTGATGTCCCCACACCGGCTGCACCACTGTCTCCAAACCCACTTCAACTTATCTCCCGGCTTGGTGAAGTCACCGTCACTTGGGTCAGGAGTCCCGTGTGTCTTCTGCAAGGGTCGCTCACCGGGACGGGATGTCCTGGAGACCAGCCCCTCCGTGTGTGTCTCTGCCACAGTCCAATGGGCTCCGCCCACAGAGCATAACCTCCCTCAGCCTCCCGGATCCAATCCCACTGCCTCAGCTTTCGAAAGGATCCTTCCAGAACTCCTGACACTGCAGCCTGTCTGTGAGCTCCCGTGTCCTCAGCACCTTTCCCCAGGGCTCGTGCGCTTGTTCCCCGAGCACCCGTCACGTGCCAGGCCCGGGCCAGGTGGGGGGGGGACGGCTGTGCACGGGGCCCAGGACGCCGCCCTCCAGGGGCTGACATTCCAGCGGAGACACGGCGCAGGCGCGATTCCACACGAGGGGCTGGCGGGAAGGGCGCAGCGGCCGTCTCGTGTCACCAGCCACCCGAGCACCAGCAGGGCCGACCCGGAGGAGACACCAGGCCCCACGCCGGTGGGGGTGGGGGGCGCTACTGAACGCCTGGTCCACACTCCCACGAGAGAGGCTGAGGAGCGGCTCTGACCTGAGACCAGAGCCCAGAGAATCTGAAGGGAAGGCAGGGCCAGGCGCCCTCCCGGGTTAAGAAACGATGGGGCAGGCGCGCCGGGGTGGCTGGGTGCTTAAGTGTTGGACTCTTGATCTCGGCTCAGGTCATGATCTCACAGAGTGTGTGCGAGCCCCGCGCGGGGCTCTGTGCTGACAGCTCTGAGCCTGCTTGTGTCCCCCTCCCCACTCTCTCTTTTTCAAAAAAAGAAAAAAGAAATCATGGGACAACTGGTGGGGCCCGAAATGGGGACAAACAGGTAAGAGCGTCGTGTTGGGTGGTTCCCGGTTTATCACCAGGGTTTGGTTCCTAAGAGAAGGGGCTTGTTTTTAGGAAATACGCACTGAGATGTTCAGGCACAAAAGGAGACTGTGTCTATGACATACTTTACGACGACTCAGAGAGGGTTACCCTGCACGTGCGGGTAGTGAGACCACGAAGGAAAACGGTCCGCGGTCTCCCAGCCGCAGAAGGTGTGACGGGCATTTCTACAGTTTCTGATTTTCTACGGGAAGCGGGTTTACTCTGACCATCAGGAAAAGCAGCGAGGGCAGGGAGCGAGCAGAACTGAGACCGATGGGCAGCGCCTGATTAGCGTTTACTATGAGTTAGGACGAAAGGAGCCTTACTCACCCGTCGTATTTGTCTATATTGATCTCGTATAAGCTCTCCTTGGCCTGATTAGCACGTTCAGTAACTAGGAAGAAAAGACGATATTACGTTGTATAGTTTACATTCAAATCTGAGAGTCTGAGTCAACACAAAAGGCAAACAAACCATTCTTTTAAAATGAGGTCCTAAAGCATCCTCAGGGGGATGGAGAGGGGGACGTGGAGCCCAGGGGGAGGCAGCCTCGCTCAGGAAGCGAGGGGAGGGATGCCACCTTCTTGGCATCTAATTGCCAACAAATGGTAACTTTTTGGAAAAAGATTACATTTTCTATTTTATAGTTTTCCCTTATTATCCAAGTTAGTTTGAAACTTTAGAAAATACAAAGATATAAAAAAAAAAAAAAAAGAAAGAAAAGGCCAGCCCAGTCTGTACACCCGGCGTGAGACACAGACACGACTAAAGTCTGCTGCGCATGGTCTTGTAACCCTGGGGTTCCCGGCCCTCTATCACGGCCGCTTTAAGTGAGCAGCTCTCTGTACGGGCCATGTTAAAGGTCCACCCGTGTCCTTTCTGCTTCGCCACACTTGGGCAGCGGTACCTCCGCACTTCCCGTCAGCGGGCATTTACACGGTTTCAGTGCGCCGCTACTGCGGGACGTGGCAGTGCCCGTGTGCGTGCGTCTGACTGCCGAAAACCTGGAATCCTGACAGACCCCTCATTTGTAAGGGTCTCTGCCCGCACTGCCAGTGGCTCTTAAAATTTTTTTTATGTTTTATTTACTTCTGAGAAAGAGAGAGAGAGAGAGAGAGACAGTGTGAGCAGGGGAGGGTCAGAGAGAGAGGGAGACACAGAACCTGAAGCAGCTCCAGGCTCCGAGCTGTCAGCACAGAACCCAACGCAGGGCTTAAACCCACAAACCATGAGATCATGACCTGAGCCGAAGTCAGACACTTAACCGACTGAGCCCCTAGGCGCCCCATGCCAGTGGCTCTTTAATAAGCGTGTTCAGGCCCCAGAGTGTGGGGTCCGGGGAGGAGAACCCAGGCTCCCCGCACCCACCCAGCGTCAAGAATCTGCACTAAAAATCTGGTGCCACCAACACGGCTTAAAGCATCACTTATTGGTGAAATTACTTCTAAGCCCTATCGAATCACTCGTCTCTCTTCTTGCAAGAGTTTTCTGTCCAGATCCTGACCCTTCTATCTTCTTAGTGTGTGTCTTGAATACTTTTTGTGCTAAGACTTGGCCAGAAAGGTATACGTTCTTTGTTTTGTACTGTTCTCATTCTGGCACAGAAACCAACATGTTATTTTGTTCAAAATAATCTCAGAAGATAAGCATCGTGTCTAGTGACCATTGTCAAACAGGCCTATGTGTTTAATGGGGAATTTACGCCTTACCAATTATTTCGGTGGTGATGGAGGCTAAGGTGAACAGCGGGGCCACTTTCCTCTCGTATATCCGCTTGCCGTGTCCCTTTCCTCCAGATGGATTAATAAACACCAGTAAATGCTTTGGTCTGGAGGCTGCAAGACAATAACAGTGTGTCAGTGACAATAGGTGTAGCAAAGAGTCACTGCAAGTACTGTGCTCCTGAACAAAATCAAACCACAATGGTGTGAGAACGCTGCTCAGTACTGCCTGGTAAGAAGTGTTTTTAAGTTAAAGAACAGCACGGAAGAGCTTCCTAGTCTACGAGCAGAGAGAAGGGCCGGCCTCGGAGATGGGGCAGTGGCTCTGCACATCTGCTAGGTGCCCCAGAGGCCCCGAGGATGCAGAATTCCGGAAGGCAGTAGCAGCCTGGCCTTCTTCGTGTCCAGGAAGGAGGGTCTGCAGAGAACAAGAAGAAACGGATCTACAGACGCGCCAGGGGAGACAGACAGACAGACCGAAAGGCAGAGACAGAGCCTGACGTGTAGTCCATGGAGATGGACAGAGAGATGGACAGACAGCGAGACACAGACAGCCCCCTGGCCCTGGTGCCAGCCCCATCCAGACGACCTCCCCACCTGGGTCACGCCTCTGTTCTCACAGCAGCTCCCACGTTTCTGCCGGGGTCAGTTCAAATTGATTCTGATACTTAAAAACCCAACTTTACTAACAGATCAAAGCACCAAGAAAGTATATATACCCCAAAAACCTGAAAAGCTAAGTCCCTGCAAAACCCTGCACACAAATGTTCACAGCAGGGCCATTCACAGCAGCTCCGAGCAGAAACATCCCAAACGCGCAGCGACGGACGAGCGACGCGGCAGCCGCGGTCCAGCCACGCACTGGAACGCTAGGGGCACCAAAAAGGCATGAAGTACTGGTAAACCTGCAGACACGGACATGGACACGCCTCTCGCCCATTATGCCAGAGCCCGAAGCCCTCCTGGAAAGGCCCCTGCAGCACGGTTCCATGCAGGTGGCGATGGCCTCTGCGCTGACAGGAAGGAGCGTCAGAAAACTCTGGGTGGTGTGAGTCTCACAGGGAGGGGCTGGGCTACACGGCCACCTATGTTTCAACACCACTGACACTGACGGAAACTCCCCATCTGTCCATTTCACTGCACGGACAGACCTGTAAACAGATGTTCCTCTCTCAATAGGGAGGCACCGGCTGAAGTGTTTACAGGTGAAGCACCCCACCTCTGTCACTTACTCTGAAACTGAGCGAAGAACACGATTAACTACTGGATAGATACACAGACACTGTCAAAACAAATACAGCAACATTAACCACTGCAGAATCTAGGCGGTGGATATGTGTGCGTGTTTGCTGTATAATTCTTGCAATTTGTCCTTTCATATGCTTGACAATCTTCATAATAAAACACTGGGGGGCAGATAATACACAGTAGAGAAAACCAACGAAGCCAAAAGTTGATTCTTTGAAGAGATTCATAAAATTGATAATTCTCTAATAAAGCTGATAAAGAAAAAGGGAGAAGAGATAAACTACTAATTATCAGGAATGAGAAAGGGGACGTTATTCCAGAATCTGCACATATTACAGGGAAGGTGAAAGGATTCTCAGTAAATTCATAAACTTGGATAAATAGACAAATTTTCTCAAAAAAAAAAATACGATTTACCAACGCTGGCAGAAGCAACAGAAAAATCTGAATAGTCTGGTATTTAATAAGGAGACCAGAGTCATTAATGAAAACCTTCTCCCAAAGAAAACCCAGCCCCAGAGGGTTTCACCAGGGACTGTTTCCAAGTGTTTAGGGAAGACCGTAGTTCCCGGTGTCACACAGACCCTTGCACAGGGCGAGCTCTGTGCTCCCCGCAAGGGGCCACCAAGGCCTGGGAGCAAGAGCAGACAAGGACGCGGTCACAGGGGAGCTGTGGGTCGACGTCCCCCGAGCCGAGATGTAGAAATCCTAAGCCAATATCAGCAAGTCAACTCCAGAAATATATACAAAAAGAGTAACATGTTATGACCCAGTTGGATTCCACAGGAAAACAAAAGCTTTTATACAAAAAGAAGCCAGGTCCGGACTCAGCAAGGAGGCACTCACACAGGGCTCCCACAGACGGAAGAGGAAAAGCATCCATCAAATGTATCAACTAGTCATGGCTGAAGCAAAAACAAACTCTTAAAGCAAGGAATTCAGAAAGAACTCCCTTACTATGTTTTTACCTGTCTTTAATTTCATTTTCATTTTTATTTTTTAAGAAATCTCTACACCCAACGTGGGGCTCCAGCTCATGACCCCGAGATCAGGAGTTGCCCGCTTGGCCGACTGAGCCAGCTAGGTGCCCCCTTAATATGTTTTTTTTTTTTTTTAAAATCTATGATAAACCTAAGAAACATCATTTTTGACTGTGAAATGTTGGAAACCGCCCTGACGGCAGGACTAGGGTGACCCTCCCCACGCCGGATCCACACCAGGTGCGAGTGTAAGAAAGAGAATTAAAAGGCACAAGAACCAAGATGGATGAAAGAGAACGATCATTACTTGCAACTGACATGAATGTGTTTAAAGAAAACCCGAAAGAATCCTCAACCTATTAAAAAAAGTGAACTTAGCAACGTCAGTGGACGCAAACTGGAGTTCCATTCAGGCTCTGCACACGTGTGTGAAGGACGTGGAGAGCAACACGGCGGCCTCGTGGTGCTGGGGGAGGGGCGCTCCTCCCCCCAACAGCATGGGGTCAAGCAGATATCTGTCCTTAAGTAAACCTTGACCACTCACCTAATACCGCACACAAAAATCAATTCCAAGTGGACTGTAGGTCTAAGTGCGAAAGGTAAAACAAGGCTTTGGGGAGAAGATATCTTCATGGCCCTGGAGCAGACAAAGATGTGAACTAGGACCCAAACTAACACAGAGCAAAATGAAACAAAACTAAACAAAACAAAACAAAGCAAAACAAAACTAAAAGATACATAGGACTACGTTAAAATGAAGGATGCCTGGGGCGCCTGGGTGGCTCAGTCTGTTAACCGTCCGACTCTTGATCTCAGCTCAGGTCTTGATCTCACGGTTCGTGAGTTCAAGCCCCACGTTGGGCTCCATGCTGGGATGAAGCCTCCTTAAAAAAAGAACAAGAAGGATGTCTGTCTATCACCAGACACCAGCAAGAGAGTAAGAAGACAAGCCACAGCACGAAAGAAGATATCAGCAATTCATAAATCCAATAAAAGACCTGGATCCATGACGTACAAAAAATATCTACTTAAACGTTAAGAAAAGATGGATAACCTGAAAGAAAAGCAGACAAAAGACCCGAACAGATTCCTTACAAAGGGGGATTTCCAAATGGTCCAGAAACATAGGAACGTACTTCCTCAGCCTCATTAGCTATCAGGGAAATATGAACTAATCCCATAACGCGAGACTATTAACAGCTACCAAAATAGCTGCAATTATTAAGTGTGGACAAGATTCGGGGTAACCCAGACTCCGATACGCTGCTGGTGGGAATGTCGCGGTCTGGCGCTGTCGACTGAGGTTGAACACACGCCAGGGCGCCGCTCGGCCCGCCGACTCCAGGCCCCGTGGTACGCAGCCAACAGAAAGGCAGCCATGTGTCCGTATGAGACACGCACCGGAACGTACTGGATTATCTGTAACGGGCCACGCCGGGGCTCTACCAGTGACCTGGCGCAGTAAACTGCATGAGTAAGTGGTCGGACACAGAGGGCCATGGCGCCAAGACGGGCAGCTGACAGCACACACAGCGTGGGGACGCTTCACACGCTGACGCTGAGCCAGGAAGCCAGACGCAGGGCATCACGGAGTAAACGTGGCTCATAAACTGAATCCGGTGTTGAGAAGCCAGGCAGTGATCAGCCTGTGGGGGGCGTGCAGGGGGCCCCGGGAGCCCAGGGCGCTGGCGGTGTTGCTCAGAGCGCTGGGTGTGAGAGCTCGGGATCTGGGGGCTTCCCTGCATCTACACTGCTTCCAGTGGACACCACAGCAGATGGACAGAGCGGCTGGAATTCTCGTCGATGCGAGTAGCCTGTGGCTGGTGTACAACTGTGTGCGCTCTCCTACCCACGACACAGGACAGAAACGCCCACCGTCCGATGGGGGGCAGCTTCAGCATACACATCCTCTGGGGAGCCTGAACCTACAGAATCAGCCCGAGTCTACAGACTCAGGAAAGTGAACAGAGGGAGCGGGGAGGCTGAGGGGGAAGACTCCAGAGAGACGGAGGAGGAGGAGGCAGCACACAGACGGGGGGCAATTTCGTGCACGGACTCCCACAGTGGGATGGGGCCCTTGTGCCGGGAGATGTGAGGTGATGTTGGGGGTCACTCGCCCGGATACACGTCAGGAGCGTCCTGCAGGATTAGATGTCGGAATGCAGAAGCGCAAATAAGCAAGTGCACCTTTCTGCGTGAGGAAGCCTCTGGCGCTGAAAGGTGGGCAACGCCATCGTCAATAAAATAGTTCACTTCTTTTATCCAGATGCCAAATGCATTAAAGACAGAAAACGCGGGGCGCCTGGGTGGCTCAGTCGGTTGGGCGTCCGACTTCAGCTCAGGTCACGATCTCACAGTTCGTGGGTTCGAGCCCCGTGTCGGGCTCTGTGCTGACGGCTCAGAGCCTGGAGCTGCTTCAGAGTCTGTGTCTCCCTCTCTCTCTGACCCTCCCCTGCTCACGCTGCCTCTCTCTCTCTCTCTCTCTCTCTCTCTCTCAGAAATAAACAAAACATTAAAAGAAAAAAAAAAAAAAGAAAACGAACTTACCCACACGCAGTTTCTCTTCTAGAGCAAAAGAAAGCCTATACTGAGCTCACAAAATTACATATTAAGATCATAACTAAGCAGCACACAACAGGATTCCAGACAGAGGTTGAGCTGACGCCTACCACTTCCTCAGGGGCGACAGACAGCCTCGGTGTGTGTGCCAGATGCTGCGGCCCCAGGTGCGCGCAGGTGCGCCCCCACGTACATGGCTCAGGCCCCACGTTCACCGGGAATGTAGCTTCTCAGAGAGAGAAACTGAGGCTCAGCAGGCCAAGGGGCCTGCCTCTCGCCTCACAGCTGGTTGGGGAAGGCACCCCGGCCCGGAAGGCCGTGTCTGGAGCAGCGTGCGATGCTAGGGTGGTCCTATAATTGGTAAATTGGTGGGTTTTTAAGCCACACCAATTTGCCAGTGTGCTTGGTTATGGGAAGGAGTGCAAATGGCAGAGGGGCAGCAAAGGTCAGGGTCCCACGCGGGCCCCGGCGACGGCGCATCCACGTACTCAGCTTCTGCAACAGGTCCTGCAGCGTCTGCAGCCACAGGTGACACAGTGGCTCCTCGGCACAGCAGAAGGTCACCTGCGCCCACCTCCAGCGGTGATGCCGGGCCCTCTTCACGCAATGCACTGCAGAGACAGACAGCGCAGCGGGTCAGGGTGGTGGGCGCAGCGTCGCGCCCCACGCCCCCCAGCCACAGGGTCCCCGGCCGCCCCCGCCTGCTGGCCATCAGGGAAAAGACCTGTTTCTCCGTTCTTTCCACCCAGGGTAAAAAACAAGGAAAGTAAAAGGCGATCAAAACATCACTCAAAGTTAGAGCTTGGGGGAAATTGCATAAAGCAGTTTCTACAGGATAAAGCAAAGAAACACGGAGTTTGTCAAACAAGTGACCAAACGGCTGCCTTTCCGGCCATCTGTGCGCAGCCGCCGCCCCCGGCACCTGTGAAAGCGAAGGGGTTTTCCATCTTCTGCCATCTTCCGCTGCCGTAGTGTCTGCCATGGACGTCCGTTTCTTCGACGGTGATGATCTCAGAGACGGGCACAGAGCAGGCATCTGGAAGGACCATGCCACACGTCACACCATTTCACGGAATCCACACAAACACACTCCTCCGTTCCAAGATGCTGGGAACCCTCTGCTTTCACCTTCTCGTTAGAAACCCACAAGTAAAGCAAAGAATCGTATCGTAGGTTTGAAATCAGAGCTAAATCATTGTGGGAAAGTCACCGTTCTTAGGGGATGGCATGTCTGACCAGCAGAGCCACCGAATGGGGACTGCCCAACTTTGCAAACGATTTGCTCCGTGACTTCCCAGGCCGGAGACTGTGCTAAATCGGAGACACAGTGTCTGTCCTTAGTCTGGCTCAGAAGTTCAAGCGGGAAGGAAGCACGTGGCGAGACTCAGGATACCGGGGTGCCTGGAGGGTCGGGGCCCCACTGAGGCAAGGCCGGAGGAGGGTGGGGGCTCTGGAGAGGCCTGGGGGGTCCAGTCGGGTGCAGGAGGGGCACCTGGATGGGCCTGGGGAGGACGACACGGATGCTGTGCGCCGTGGGAAACCCAGGAGGAGGCCGCCCGGCCGAGCCGCCGAGCGGGACTGCAGGAGCCTCCAGGTAAGGGCCCCGCACGGGGGTCCTGAGCACAGCGGGGGCGGCGGTGGGGGAGGGGCAACAAAACCAGAGCCTGGGAGACTGCGAGGCCAAGACCCGGGACAGCAGGCCTCGGTCTGAGTAGCCCTCATTCCGCAAGCTGGTCCGTGAACTGCTGCGGAGAGTTACGGTGTTTCCACAAACAAGAACGTTATCACCTGCGGTTTGGCGCCAGCGTGGCTATGAGCCCTACAAACCAGCCAAAGCACTATAATTTCTCTAACAGCCACGTGAGCGGCGCTGCTCAGACACCCCAGCACCTCTGTGTCGCTGTGAAGTCCTTGCCCTTGGGGATCAGGGCGTTAAGACCCGGGAAGGCAGCGTCTGGATGGGCCTGGGCCGCTTGAGAAGCCTTGGGGGGCTGGCAGGGCTGGTCCCCAGCGGGGTCAGAGCGTCCAGGACCCCGGGGAAGGGACACTCCTGCAGAGGAGCAAGAAGTGGGGCCTCTGAGGGCGGCGTGGGCTCGGAGTGCCCGCCAGGCCCCGCTCCGGGGAGTGGGGGGTCAGTGGGGGGCGGCTCAGGGCGCTGCCCTCGGTGAAGCCTGTCGCCCGGGCCTCCCTGCAGGGCGCCCTGTGTTCACCCTCCCTTGGCCGGAAGCTGTGCCTCCCTCCTCCCCCCTCACCGCTCCCCCTGCTCAGCCAGCCCATCCCACAGCCTGCCTCTCCACGCCCTCCCGCCAGCCCCGCCCAGCCCGGCACGCGGCACCCATCTCCCGTGGGAGCAGTGTCCAGGGTCCGCACCTGGGCACGGGGGGCCGGGTGGGCTCACGGCAGGGAGGAGTCGGGGACCCGCCACTCACGACCGGACACCGGCACGGCGCTCCTCTCAGACCACTGAGAGCAAACAGCAGGACCACCCGCCCCTGCACAATCACCGCGCGAGTGGCCCGTCGGGTAAGCAACAGCAGAGAGGAAATTCTAGGAAGCTAAGCGCGCGCAGTAATTCCGATGCTTCTCGATGCTCAAGCGAACGGCTGACTGAAGAAACTGCACAACAGACGAAGACACCTGTCGTGTTGAGCCCGGAACTCAGTACGAGCCACAGACGGCTCACGGGATGACCCACGGAAAGGAGTCCACAGGGTAACAGTTCCTAATCTGGCCAGTTTGGTCTGAGGGACCCGAGGGGCCGGGGGAGGACGGGCGGGATGTCGGTGCTGCCACGCGCCCAGCGGCGCCGACCCCTCGAGTCCCGCAGGCAGGGTCACGAGCCCAGCACGCCCCGCACAGCAGTGACAGGACCCCACGGCACCACGCGCTGGTCCCGCCGCAGACCCCGCCCTGCCCTCCTACAACGTGCGGGGGGGGTCGTGCTGAGGTCGGGGCCGGAGGGCAGAGCAGGGGTGCCCAGGGCAGGGCTCAGGGCTCAGGACGCAGGAATGAGGCCAGGACACATCACTCAGGTGGCCTGGGAGAGAAGCAGGAGCCGAGGGGGAGGGGAGGGACGGGGGGATGGATGGACGGAGGGATGGACAGACGGACGAGGGGGCGGGGGGCGGGGCTCTCACTCGGGCGCGCTGGAGCTCAGAGGGCTCTGAGCAAAGGCAGACCCGGTCGGACTTGGGTCTGCTCCTGGGTAACTGAAATGGGGGGACGGGGGGACGGGGGGACGGGACACACGGGAGGGACTTTGGGATGAACGTCCGTGTCACCTGTTCCCCGGGTGAGACGGAACACACGTGGGAAGACCCATCACTTTACACGGTGCTGCGCTCGCGGGGAGCACAGCGGAATAAACAGAAGGGCCTTCTCTAAAGAGGGACAGAGACCACTGGAGACGTCAAGGCAGGAAGTAGGGCGGGGCGGACGTGGACGTGGACGTGGACGTGGACCCGGGGGCGGGCTCTACCCGGCCCTGCCTGCAACCACATCAAGGCAGTAGCTGTGCCTGCGTCTCACGACTGTACGTGAGGACGACGGTGTCAAACCAATAGGGATTTTAGGACGTAAAATAAGAGCAGGGTGAGAAGGGTCCTTTCCTGCAAAGACACAAAGCGGAGGCTCCCGTCCCCTCCTCTGTGCTCAGCTGAGGACCTGCGCCCGGTGCCTTCAACGCAGTGGCCCTTGTCTCTCGTCTGGGTCACTGCGCGTGCAAAACCCTCGGAGGCCGCGCTCCTCAGCCCTCATCCCCGACTGAGGCGAAGGACTCCATCCAGAGCCAGAGAGAACGGACAGCAAGTCCCGCAGGACAGAAGCTGTCACCCGGCTTCCGTCCGTCTCCTCCGAGGCCCGTCCCTGGGGGCGGCGGGGGGACCCGTGGTCTCCGAGGGTAAAACGCAAGCGCCCTGTGCCGCCTCCGCGTGTGGGATCGGCAACAAATTCTCGCACGTCCAAAACCTGGGAGAGCGTCTTGCAAAGGTTACGGGTGGGAATCTGGGGCACTTCTCATTTTCTACATGACATGATCGTTTCTGCGACCGTTACCTGCAAGTTGCATCATCTCCCACGGCCCGTGAGACTAGAAAGGACAGAACGGGCTTCTGTCAGAAGAGCGCGAAGTGAGAGGAGAGTCTAAGTCCTGCCGGAAGAAGGGTTATTTCCAGGCCACACTGGACCCAGCTGGGGGCCGAGTCGTTGGCAGCAACGTCCCTGACAGGACCCACTCTACAACGACGCGGGGGCCCCAGGCTCGTGCCGGGGCGTCCCACAGCCTGGCCCGCCCCCACTGGGGACGTGCCCGCCCGACCCGGGGCCAGGATCTGCACTGTCCCCGTGGGTGGAGCCACCCTCAGGATCTTACCCTCCATCACGGAGTTCTTCGAGCTGGTCGTGGCCCTGGGTCACCTTTCACTTTATAAAAGTAACATCCTGACATCCCCTTCTACAAACTGGGGGCTCCGTCGGTTAAGTGTCTGACTTCGGGTCAGGTCATGACCTTGCAGTTTGGGAGTTCCAGCCCCGCGTTGGGCTCTGCGCTGTCAGTGGCAAGCCTGCTCGTGTTCTCTCTCAAAAATAAATGAATAAACTAAAAAAACCAAAAAACTATTGAGTGAAACACGCCTCTGGGATAGACAGGTATCTCCAAAAGAGGAAGATTCTGGAAACCACAAACTTCCCCAGACCAGGGCTTCTCACCGGCCGTCCTGGGCTGGATTTGAGCAGCATCCTTGGGCCCCATCCAGGGATGCCAGGGGCGCCCAACATTGCCAGACGTGACACGCTGTCTCCTGGGGGCACGGTCACCCGACAGAGAACCAGTGCCTTAGGGCATCGACGCGCTTGGCAAGCTGTTCTCTAAACGGAAATACCGGAGACCAAGGCCCATGCTGGGAGCGCAGGGGAAAGGCAAGGGCTGCTGAGCGCTCTCCTACATCACAAACCCCCAGGGGGTCTCAAGTGTGAGTGTGAGTGTGTGTGTGTGTGTGTGTGTGTGTGTGGACATCCCGGGGGGCCTCACACCCAACCTTCTAATCTAAACCTATCTTTTCTGCTGTGCTGCCCCTTTCCAGAAACGTCCTTCCCTGCTGTGTCCCCAGTCGGTGAAGACGGCTCCGCGCTGTGCTCACTCACCCAGCCATCTAGGAGCCCTGCCTGACGTCCCCTCTGCTCTGCCCCGCGGTGGCTCCCAGCCTGCCCCCCACTCCCAAGGGTGCAAAGACGCAAACGTGGAGACGGCACCGCTCTGCCCAAATCGTCGCTGGCTTCTCCCACCACGTCGGGGCTGTGTCCAGACATCCTGCCGCAGGTTAATTCAACACCCCGGCCTGGGGGTGCGGCTGTGGGAGCCCCTCCACCACCCGCTTTCCTGGCAAAGCCGGCTCCCCGCACTCCCCACCCTCATCCTGGCGCCCCAATGCGGCCGAGGCAGCATGTGCACAGAACCGGTGTTGGACGAAGTGAGCACAGATCCTCCAACAGAAGCCGGGACTGTACCGAGTGCAGCCGAATCCGTAAGAGCCGCGCAGAAACACCACAGTGTCCCCGGACTGGGTCCCGAGGCCCCTCGGCTGTGCTGACATGATCTGTTCGCCGGCGACATTTGAAAATGCCGGAGATGGGGAAGGAAGTCACCCAGGTGAGCGCGGCCGTCCAACAGCACTGACTCGGATCGCACGCGGAGCCCAGGCTATGCCCCAGCGGGGCCGATGGCACACACAGGTCCTCCCGCCTGCTCCCGGGGTGGGGGGAGCGGCCACCAACAGGGGCCACCGCATCACCGCAGAAATCGGAAGCCACCGGGGTCCACCCGGAGAGCGGCACCTCCCAGTTCAGGGACGGTTCCCACGGCGGTGCTGTGGGGGGGAGGGGGGGTCTCCTAACGTGACTAGAGAGAACAACTGAATGATCAAGTGTCTGGTGCCACCTGATACCTCCTGGCTGCCCGCCAGCACAGCCCGCCTGCCCAGTCTTCCCTGGGCTCCTCAGGCCCCGTGGGAACCGTCTCCAGGCTGCGCGTGCGTGTGCGGG